CCTATTTCGTTATTTCTAATATGAAGTTTAAAATTACTGCCCTATTTTTTTTGTCGAGTGTCTATTTCATTATTTCTAAAATGAAGTTTAAAAATACTGTTCTATTTTTTTGTCGAGTGTACCTATTTCGTTATTTCTAAAATAAAGCTTAAAATTACTGCCCTATTTTTTTGTCGAGTGTACCTATTTCGTTATTTCTAAAATGAAGCTTAAAATTACTGCCCTATTTTTTTGTCGAGTGTACCTATTTCGTTATTTCTAAAATGAAATTTAAAATTACTGCCCTATTTTTTTGTTGAGTGTACTTATTTTATTGTTTCTTTCGGAATTGATTGTGAATTAAAAATGAATGAATGACGCGACAGTTAAACTGTGGTCCAAGTTCGCTATGTTATTTGAAGGAAATTTCGAATGTTTAATAAAATTATTTTTCTTGCTATAATGCGTTTGAATGACGAGACTTTTGTGTTAGTATTATACTATGATATAATAATACATGGATTACCAAAAGAAAGTTGTTCGTCACAGATACGTGTAGACTTCTAGCAAATTTTGACATGGTAAGGTTATTCTATTTCTTAGTATAAGCTGGAATCTATGCTCATATACCTTAAAAGCAAACAATCGTTTTTCAGCTATTAAACAAATTAGAACAGCCATGTGTATTTAACTCTTCAAATGATTAACAACATTGATATGGAATAATGAGTCACGTGTGAAAATGTGAAACACGTGTAGGTTAAATTATTTTCTAAGCTGTGACTGTGAGAACATTTAGTTTTAAATGGTACTTATTTTGTTTGCCTTTGCAATCGTGTCATTGACAATGTCGATATAACGTTGATCAGAAGCACTCGTGATCACAATAATTAATGAAACTGATCACGCGTGGAGCCTGTAGGATCTTCATCATCGTGATGTCGCCAGTCGAGCGAACCTCAGTGGTTAAATTGTTATATATGTAGCAGCTCGGCTTTAAATTTTTTGAAACAAACAAAACTAGACATAAGTTGATGTACTGATCATTAAGTTACCTGTGTACGTACTCTAGTCAAGAATACTATATAGTGATCAATTAATATAAAAACAATTAATAGTCATCGAGTTATGTATAATTTTCTTATGTTGTCATATTTTACAATACCTACTGCCCGTGAATGGTCAGCATCTGTTACAAACTAAAATTTCATCCCTTTTTTGTTTTTTATTTATTTCATTTACTTCAGATTTTGCATATTATTGTTATTGTTAATGAATGTCATATAGAATATATATTTCATATAAAATATCAAAATTAAATAAAAACAATAACTACAACTTCTGAATAAAATAGAAATTATAATAATAATAATAAAATAAAAAATTAAAAAGTATGTCATAACTACGTTAACCTAAAGTCTGGTAAATTACGTGGGGCTATCAAAACATAAATCCATATCTACGATCCTACAGTATAGCCGCGATGCAGTCATGGCCCCATTTTTAAAGGTTTTAAAACCAACCTATACTGTTGTACCTACTGGTATAACTATTATAGTGTTGAAATTTCGACCTCATGTCTCAAGGTGGGTGGCATTGTGATGTCTATGAGCCGAAGTAGCCATTCTACATCTGACGGGCGGTGACCTCGTATACCTATTTACGCCTTAAGTCGCTAAAAATCTACATAAATACTTTTTTTATTTTTTTTATTGCCCTTGTAGGCAGACGAGCACACGTCCCACCTAGTGGTGAGTGGTTACCGTCGCCCATGGACCTCAGCAATGCCAGGGGCAGAGCCAAGCCGCTGCCTACCGCTTAATACTCTCCACAAGCCTCGTTTGAAGAAGGTGAATAAATAAGTAAAACTATTGTATTATATATTATACTAACTAACTGTTATATATTATACTAACTCGCGCTATTTTTCTTTCCTGTGAAAATTGGTGGAAGCACATTCGTATTCACGTTTTTTGAATAGAACGAATTTCTATGTCAAAGAAGATTTGTCTATCTATCTATTATCTAATATTAATATTTTTTTAAATAAGTGAAAGAATAACCGAGGAGGCATAATTTAGATTAATATCATCTAAATACATTTTACTACGAAAAAATGTATACAGACCGGACCATAAAGTTTAGCAACTGAAACTACACCGTAAATTGTTAACTTAAGGTCGTTTTTTTATTTCACAACATTGTTTTTTCTGTATTTCTAAATCAGGTTCCAATTTATTTTGTTCTTTGTTGAAAAAATATCTCACAGTAATCTCTCTTTAGCGGGCTTCACGGATATTCCTACCTATTGCCAAATGTCGCTTAAGTCATTGAACATGTAGGGGAATGATACCCCGCCCCGCTGCACTTTAACCACTGACTGTATGCACAATAACTGCATGGTAAGCGAAGCGGGGCGGGGTATCATTCCCCTACACTACAGAACGTATAATAAACCCGCAACACCACCAAACCTCACAAACATATCCTCTAAGTATGAACATGAGTATGGTAGGCAGCGGCTTGGCTCTGCCCCTGGCATTGCTGACGTCCATGAGCGACGGTGACCACTTACCATCAGGTGGGCCGTATGCTCGTCTGCCTAAAAAGGCAATAAAAAAAAAAAAACAGTAATTACAATAATGTATATCGCTGTGCTTGTAATAACGCGTATCCGTTCTATCAATCCACACAGTTGGCTATCGAAAATCGGATTGGGAGCCGCCGCCACCGTGTAAAGGTGAACTCCGTATTGACCTCGTTTCCTAAATACGGAAAGTTCCGAAGCCCGTCCCGTCCGCCTCGAAATTTAAACAGTTTTTTTTTTTTTTTCCGTCCCTCGTTACATCCAATTTTGCGTTTATCATTGATTTCTTAAGCCCGGACTCGTCCTGCTCGGAATTTATAAGCGTTGGCATTTTTTTTTAAGAGTGAAGCGAATAATTGGTTAAGTTTAAATCTACGGAGAGGCATGTATGAATGTGTCCCTACGTTTTGTACCAAATGAAGATCATCATGATGCACGCACCTTATGCGTTAATGCTTCTTATGAAAGATATTCGAATCATTTATGAATAGGCACAAAAATGCTTTAGTCTATTTTTTTGTTTTTGTTTTTTGTTTTTTTTTTATAATTAAATTAATGATAACAAGGCTATTTGTTGTAGGCGATATTTTTGCAATTTTACAGGAGAGCCATTTGAAGTTTAAAAATTTGGATAAAATATCATAACAAAAAAGCTTCGTCAGCTGTTTGAATGGATTAAACTTAATTGGGGTTCAATTAAAAATATCGAACTGTTGATGCTAAATACCAAATAAAACGCACCTTTAATTACCAAGATAAATGTCGCGTATTAAGCAAATTTTTTTTTTAAATTTTTTTTATTGCTTAGATGGGTGGACGAGCTCACAGCCCACATGATGTTAAGTGGTTACTGGAGCCCATAGACATCTACGACTTAAATGCGCCACCCACCTTGAGATATAAGTTCTAAGGTCTCAAGTATAGTTACAACGGCTGCCCCACCCTTCAAACCGAAACGCATTATTGCTTCACGGCAGAAATAAGCGGGGTGGTGGTACCTACCCCCACGCGGACTCACCAGTGGTCCTACCACCAGTAAATGCCGCTTAAGCCAAATAGCCTTTCCCCCTCGATAATATTTAGCGTATTTACGATTTGCTATAACAAGAAGAAGAAAGGAATAACAAAATAGTTGTCATAAAAACGCTGCTAGAGTTGGGGAAAGCTTATTAATTGATATATTTCGGGATCCAGGTATCGTTAGATGCGTCAAATAATCAATAACGTACCTGCCTAATACCAAGAAAACGAAGCGAATCCTAGAGACACAATGACATGATCTTTGTGTTGCTATTCTTTCTAAATGATTTGGTTTATTTGTCAAAGTTTATTGCAAACAATGTCTTTTTATCACTCCGAAAATTGGAGCCAAACATATTTATAAATAGAATGAAAAAAGTTGCCATATAACAATCCCCAATACAAGTGAATAACTAATGAATCCATTCAACAAATGTCTTTAAACTTGATCATTCTTTCGTCATAGCAGGTGGCTTGTTGTTGGAATGTCAGTGCAAATACTTAAAAGTCTGTATTGCAGAATGGCAATTTATTTCCATATATTTTTGTTATGTTTCATGTTATTACGGATTATTTGCGAGATTCTCTTTGAAGTAAGCTCAATTATCATATAAATTTTCCGTTTTTTTGTTAGGTATTTTCAAGTGTAGTTTCTCTATCGCGAATGGGCGGAAAGAAATACCCATTAACCAATCAAACTTTTGAGTTGTTTTTTAACTTGGATCTACATTCCTCATTTTTAGCGGGTTTTTTTGCGATTTTTTTGCTGTTTCTGACATTAATTCTATCACAGGTATTCAGGGAACGACTACAGTAGATACGTTAATTTGAAATGGTCATTACTATTAACTGATAAGATGTTTTGATAAAATAATTAAAAAAAATTATATTATTTTTGAAGAAATTAATCACGTAAAATCAAACTTAAAATAAAAGATAGCAAAAGGTCGATTAGCTTTAATTATGTTGTGTTAGTTTTAATTAGCCAACAAACATATTTTATCGCCTAGCGTCATTCTCTTCGACTATCATTTGAGGAAGAATATTTTCTCCATTTGATCTACAATATAACGTCTTCTCGCATTAAAACTATAATCTCAAAACTTACTAATTTTACAGGAGAGTGTTTTAAAGGTTTAACATGTAATATTTTTAATATTAATCATATTTGCAACATTTATTTTTAATTTTTTACCAGTTACCTTATCTGTCTTTTAAAGTAAGATAAAATTTTGTTAATAGTAGTCAAAACATAGATAAACTAAAAAAAAACAACCTAAACTACGCTCTTTTGACAGTATTTATGAGAAAAATACTGGTGATATAATGTTTACGCATATTATCTCAATTTCGAATATTTTTGGAAATTGTACACTTTTAATGCGAAAAGGCGATATGTATCAGTGATTCTTGTTTCGAATTAGAATCCAGCAGTTTGTGCTCGACTTAGCAGAGCACCGTAGCGCGTTAGAAACCGACGGCCGACGATTAATGGCGGTACACCGATCCAGTGACAATTAAATCACTTTATGAGCTGCACAATTTGTGTTTCGGCCCACACGGCTCGGCTTGGTCGAGACAAGACGCTCTCCGACCGTGTTTCACTGGAATCGCGTTATATTTAGAATTTCCGTTTCGGCCCTACATGGACAAAATGGGCTCAGTGCGTTTTCGTCTTTGAATAGCGATCGCTGCCGGGTTTAGTGACTCTTTTTTGGAAGTCGCAAGTGTACTCATTGATCTCCTTCCGTATGTGCTTTATTTGTTTCAGTTTTCCGTTTGTAAATTCGATATGCGTGAACGGTAAGGATAATTTTGTGTTGTGAAGTAATAAAAGTAGTCGTATCTTTAGTATGTATTTGAATTGTTTCTTTTTTTAATACACATTTTTTAAGAACTAGGTACCTACTTAATATTACAATTTTAACGTTTTCATTCAATCAAAACGTATTTTATAAACGTAGCTTTTTACATAAATTTGTTTTAAAATTATTCTAATTTCTAAGATTTATTTCAAGCAAAAGAACAAAATAATGCATGCTCTAATGAAATCTAAAAGTACAAGACCTACAGAATCGACAAAATACAGAAGAGACAATTGAATTTCACGGTCAAATTGATTTCGAACTAACTACTTCGTTGTAAAAACTATATGAATTCTACGAAAGTATCGAACGATTTTGAGGTTTGATGAGACAACATCGAACATAAACAAAATGCGTAAACAATCCGTATGACTCACAATGACGAAGACTCATTATCATATCACGAACGTGTTTCTACATCAGTGACTACTAACTCAGTACCCTTACAACACTCAAACATGATCATCGTGTTTTTACGCGATTTTTTTTCTAAATATTACGTTATGATTGATTTCAGGAACGCGAGTGACATTATCGAACGTTATTGAATAAACACGCGCGACATTACGTGATCAACCATTACTGATAGAATTTTCCTTAACGTTGCGAACAAAGAGTATAGTAATATTTTTAAAACATTAAACACTTATACGGACGCACCAGCCTGTTGATCTAAACACGTGTCGCGTACGTTGCATACGAGGATGCGAGCGTTCGACGCGCGCGTGCAATAAAAATTGAATGCAAAAATGATCAAAAGGAACGGTGATAATGTGTTTGCGATCGCGTCGACCAACAATCAGTGTCAAGGCGGCAGCAGAAACGCTGTCTCGCTCTGTCCCAGCGGCGCGGCGACGAGGATACCGCGAGCCACTGCCGCCAGGATGACGCCGCCCGACGCGCACCACAACTCCAAGGAGGCTAACATCGCTCTCTCGATTTACGTCGAAAAGTGGAAAAACAGATATGAAGATGCAGAAAGAAAACATAAAGCGTATCTACTCAAATCCGAAAAAGGTCAGTACGGGCTTGTTTTATATTTTATAAATCATATTAAATGAAATTAAATATTTCCCATCTGTATTAAATCTGCGCGCATGCTCTGAAATTTCTCGGAGTCGTATGCAAATGAGGACAACAGTTTGTAAATCCCATTCGCGTATTTGTCGGATTATGACAGACTGTAACCTGTTGCTTGGACATTCTTCCTAAATTTATCCAATACCCGTTGTGGGTCGAAGGTTTTTTTCCTAATGTGCGAAACATTTGCGGACTTCTTTTTGCAACAAAAGAGGTTATTGTCGATTCTGTATTATTAAACTGCGCAACAATTATATGCTTACCATGACGATTCAAGGAGAGAAAGGATTTGTATTGTGTTTATGCGCAGTTACACTTTATTTCCTCAATTCCTTCATATTTTTTAAAGAATAAGGTATACGTTTAAAGTTCCTACCTACACTACCTTACTCTACTTAGTTTTCGAAATGTCAGCTGTTTTGAAACGTCAAAATATGTCAAACTTTAAAGTAGATATGGTGCCGTAACTATTCAAAGTTCCAAAACTTTTAAATTTTTTTATTAAATTGTTTTCCGAAGTAAACGGCAAAGCTATTTTAATGTTTGAACATGATAGGAAATATAAATGATTTCAAAATATTTTGGTGAAGTTTTTCTTTGTTTTTAGCTATCTTTTTTTCTTGTAAGTACGGGTTCGTGTATATAATGTTGTAAATCAGACATTATCTCTCATATGGACAAATAACTTGTTACAAATGAAGTAAAAATTGACAAATACTTCCAATTCAAGAGATAATGGAATTATTACATTTTACTTTAGTGATTATGCAATTTGATTTATATATGAGTCGTCTATTATCAAAGGTGGCGATCTGTGCATTTGGACAAAAAAATGTTATTGATATGTCAATACAGATTGATTTGAATATAATCGTCTCCTTCAAAGAATACGGTTCAAAACCTGCATTAAATAAAGGTTAATACTTAACCTGTTAATTGTCTAAGATGTCGTTCAGAAGAGTTTTGTGACTGCCAATGGAATACAAAGTCAATAATTCGTTTTTCTGATTTACCAATAATTGTCCAAAAGTCAGATTGCCGCCTTTGATAATAGTCTACTCATATACACATAGGAAAAATTAATTTCCTCTTTGGGCAGGTATCTACATAATATGCATAATTGGTGCAAAATTAAATATTGTGCTAATGTAAATATCTATATTATCACTCAGCTTATAATTTTTTTTGTTACTAATATAATAATTTAAAGATATTAGAAATAAATCATCTCCGGTACAAGATGGAAATCAATACTTATTTATTTTTCATAAGTCCCGGACACTTTAGAGTGACTTTATATTATTAATCATCATAGCCTGTACTGATGATGGACTTGATATGCAAATAATGAATCCTAAAGTATCTATTAGAAAGTATGTATTCTATTTCATACTCTGCCACGCCAAGTCACAAAGTCTATTAACATTGACAAATTTTAAAGTAATGACTATAATAATATATTATTTATTATGGAAACAGGATTTATAATTAATTGCCAAATAAAATAAATGTAAATTTTTTATTTAATTTTTTTTTTTTTAATTATATTGATTGCTTCTATTGTATGTATTTACATAAAAAGTATTCGGCCAACTTAAAGTTCATGAATGTAATGAAAATGAATAATTTCTTAAGATCATTAATTATAAACTTATCACTATTGAGCATGTTAGAAAAATTAAGACCTAAAAATGATATAACAGCAACTATATTGAGAAACATTACTATATATAAGAAAATATTAAATTGGAATAACATCCACTCAGTAAATGTTATTAGTAATTTGTCGGTAAATTCTGTAAATGTGACTAATGTGTGACTATAAATATAGATAATACGGCTCAGTAGGACCTAATGTGTAAGATGCCTGGTGAACTCATATTCACTGGTTCATGATGAGACTTTTCTGAGCTTAAATTCTGTAGTAATCTTACATAACACAGGAATGACTTCCACAATGAGTACATTAAACTTCCAGATATTAATAATTAATGTAATTACTGCTGGTAGGAGGTCATGCCTCAAGGTTGGTGTCAACTATGTCATTGTGATATCTATAATGCAATGTCGATTGCACCTATAATTGAGGTGACATCTGCCATGAACTTTTGTCAATTTGTCAATGTTTTGTATTGATGATCACTTTGTTGGTGCAACTTATTAAATAAATAAATAAATAAGCTTCAGGACCAACCTCATATCAGTTGGACCATGGATTTAAGACATGAAGTTATAGTTTCAATTTTAAAGCTGCAGTCCCATCACTGTAATGCTTAATTGGATCACAACCAAAATAGCCTGTATGATGCTAACCTTTTTAATTGCTCGAAGTTGGCAGACAGGCTCACGGCCCACTTAGTGCTAAGTGGTTACCGAAAGCCAAAAACATCAGAGTATGAATGTCGGTACAGCCTGACCTTCCTGACCTAACCTGACCATTGACCTTCAAAGCGGAATCAGTGAGATTGCATCGCTGCAGAGGTAAAATTAGAATTTTCGCGGGCTTAATTTAACTATACGATGTTTTTCGCACGTAAAACCGATTTCTAGCGTGGCGACGCGTCGCCATGCGCAATCGACTGTGCGATTCTCTCCCACTCGATCCGGCGTTAAGCCATCTCTCTCGCTACACTGAGCTCGGACACCTATAGTATATACTCCGTAGTGTATACAGTGTTGTTTACTACAGTACACACAACCTGTGTTTTACATGAAAACAAATATTTTTTTCGTAATATTTTATTTTATCATTAAGACTTTAATATTGAGTTCCTATCACGATCTGTTCTTTTCTGCATATTACTTTTACAAAATAATGTCGACGTTTCACATCTGCCAGGCGACCCGTGACGGCTCACATTTTTTTTTATCTATACCTAATGAGTTCACGGGCTCAACCTGAGAGAATAGCTAACACTAGCCCTAGCATGAGCCGTGCTTTGCTGAATCTACTACCGGATCGAAATCGCGACCCACTGAAAAGATTCGATGAGAAACTCAGTGGGTTGTGTCTATGGGCTAGTTTGCACGTCGAACTCTTCGTCGACGAGTTCGACGAGGACGGTATTCAATTGAGATTACGGTCTCACGCCTCAAGATGGCGGCATTCACGTCGTGATGTCTGTAGTCTCCTGTGACCACTTTAAATCAGACGGGCCGTGAGCTCCCCCACATTTATGCAATTAAAAACCACATGAAAGTAATGTCCCGTCCGCCTTTTTATTTATTACGGTTTTACCTTTGTAATCATGTGGCCGCGTAACGAGATACCAGAGTCACCAGCAAAAATTATAGCATTACACGAAATACAATGAGTATTCATTCATTTGAACTGAGCATGCGTAAATGAATCATAACGTTATTATTTCTGAAAAATTTGTGTGATCTAATAATGTTATTGTGTACGTTTTTAGTTTTAAATTTACAAGTAATGACTGTATGTTAAATATAAATTTATATTAATATATAGCGTTGTATGTTCTCTGCTATTTTGACATTTCGAGGTTAGGGCCTGTGCACACCACGTTTTTTAAGCGCGCCTTGGAAACGCGCGTCGACGGCACGCTTTTATCTTACAGAGCGGTTTGTTGTCGTCTGTATCGATACAAACGCGATGCTAACGCGCACGTGTATCGATACAAACGCGCGTGGACGGCGCGTTTTTATCCCACAGAATGGTTTCTTGTCTTTGTATCGATATAAACGTGATGCTAACGCGTATTTGAATTTATACAGGTGTGCAAAGGTCTACAGGCTGCGTCTGACTTGCTTGCGTATCGCGTCTGTATCGCTAGGAACGCGCGTCGACGGCGCGTTTAAAAAACGTGGTCTGCACAGGCCCTTAAGCAAGATTACTTAGAACGCGCATGTAATACTTGCGGCTAACCCGTGCTCGTCGCCTAGTTAAATAAACATACTCAGTGCTGTGGCTGTCAATTGAATGCAACGTTGAGTATCGTTGGGTATGATAGTTTACGATAAAACGCTTATGTCATCAGCTTGAGATCCCAAATAAAACGCACACTAGGGATGCACGAGCGGTATAGATATATGATACGAATTACGATTAAAAAGGAATATCAAGGTTATGCGATCGCGAGATCGAAAAAATCGAATAAGTTGTTTTAAAAGGAATAGTGTTGAATATTTATAGTTGTTTGTACTTATAATTCAATCGTCAATTCATAAATGTGCAATGATTTTAGTTTAACTTGTCATATTGTATATGATTTAACAAAATACTACAATAGAATATTTCTTGATTTCTTGAGATACTGCTCAATTAATATTGCACTCTTACGATATTTCGAAACTGTTCAGGGTTTGTTGTTGTTTCCACACTTCATTTATGTTAACAAATTGCTCCACGAGTGACGTCGAGTCTAACAGTTTTATTTAGACCATGGCACTGTCTTAGAAGGATTGATTCACACTAATTCAATTAAGATCGCGGATCGATCCAAAAGATCGATTCTAATAATAAGAATGGACATCCTTAAAGCTTACTGAGACCGAGTCATTTAGAAACGCAAAAGATAAAAAACGAACGATGTAGCTTAGTTAGTTATTATTGTATGTATACCTAACGAAGAGTGAATGACCTATGACTTCGGACTTGAGGCTCAAAGCCAAGCCGTTCTTCTCGATCAAACAATTACTTCCCGTCAACTTACTTACAACTTACTATTTTTTTACTGGTGGTAGGACCTCTTGTGAGTCCGCACGGGTAGGTACCACCACCCTGCCTATTTCTGCCGTGAAGCAGTAATGTGTTTCAGTTTGAAGGGCGGGGCAGTCTTTGTAACTATACTGAGATCTTACTACTAATATCTCAAGGTGGGTGCGGCATTTACGTTGTAGATGTGTCTATGGGCTTCGGTAACCACTTAACCAGGTGGGCTGTGAGCTCGTCCACTTATTTACTCGTCTATCTATACCTATATATAAAAATGAATTGCTGTTCGTTAGTCCCGCTAAAACTAGAAAACGGCTGGACCGATTTGGCTAATTTTGGTCTTGAATTATTTGTGGAAGTCCAGAGAAGGTTTAAAAGATAGATAAATATGAAAATGCTCGGAATTAAATAAAAATAACAATTTTGTTTTCCCTTTGATGTGTCCCCCCCGTCGGACGGATTCCTTTTGTTTGTTTTAAGTTTATTTTATACATAAGTTTAGGTCTTTTAATTATCGATTGCGGCACTACGAAGTCTGCCGGATCAACTAGTATGCAATAAAAATCTTTATATCTTACAACGTACATTTTCAGCAAAACGTGAGCACGATGACCTCCAGCGTCGCTACAACATCTTGCACGAAGAAAGAAACCACCTGGACTCGGAGTTACGAGAGAGAGAACGCGAGCTGAACAAGCTGAAGAATGTCTCCGAAAAGCTATTCAACGAGTACCAGCAGCTGAAGCATCAGCACGAGGTCGACGCGGGTGTCATGCATAAGTAAGGGCTGACGTCATCAAGGTCTACTGCTGGTCAGAGACAGTGCTTATCTCTAGATGTAGGCTACACTGCCTACGAGATGATCCTCCCTCGGCCACTATCTCAAACCACTGCGATCGTCCACAATGCGTTTCCAGAGATAAATTCGTGAGCCCATCAACTCTGGAATGAACCGTCTACGGTATTTTAGTACCAGATGGGCCATTGGCTCGTCTATAACTATATCTAACTAAGGGTCCGTTCACACAGACCGGCTTGGAGAGCATCGACCCGGTTTTTTTCCTTTCACACAGACCGGATCGTATAAGTTTGTAATTGGCTGAAGCGGAGCCGCCAACTATTTGACAATCTGAGCCGATCGGCTATGCGAGCGAGATAGAACGCGCGATCGGAGCCGGTCGGATCCTGTTATTAATTCACACGCATCGAGTTCAAACATTCTTAATGACAAAAAAAAGTGCACAAGCAAAATTAAACTTTACTACAATTACTCAAAACTCTGTTTCCAACGTATTAAAAAATCTACTCTCCTCCGAGCCGGTCTGTGTGACGGACCCTAACTCTAAACTGTCATGCCGGAACGCTATTCCTTCAAAGTGAAATGCGATGGCATCTACTAAAATGAACGCTTGATCACTTAGTGACTATCCTGGGATCTAGGTACCAAGGGTCAGAATATTTCGGAGTTGGCCTGCTGTTTAGTGGTCACCAGTGGTTATGGACATCACAGCGTGAATGAGGCTAACCGTATTGAGACTTGAGGTCTACGTGTCGATTAGATTATAAATAATTGGTGGTAGGACCTCATGTGAGTCCGCGCGGGTAGGTACCACCGCCCTGCCTATTTCTAATGCGTTTCGGTCTGAAGGGTAGGGTTGCCGTTGTAACTATACTGAGATCTTAGAACTTATATCTCAAGGTGGATGGCGCATTTACGTTGTAGATCTCTATGTGTTCCAGTAACCACTTAACACCAGGTGGGCTTTGAGCTCGTCCAACCATCTAAGCAATAAAAAATAATAAGCATTTTTTTCTTAATCGATGAATTCGTTCTTGAGCATGTGTTAAATACGAATTTCATTTAAAAAAAAAAAATACCCCGTCTACGGGATCCGAACACCGACACAGTCGATACGAGTAGGTACACGCGGCGTCTTATCCGTTAGGCCACGACGACTTCGAACTAACTGGGCATCATTAAAATTCCTATGAAGATAAATACTGTAATGGCTTCTTAATGCATGACGTTTTATCTTAATAAGTGACTAATATGTTCCGAGCTAGTGTGCTATTGGAAAGTCAGTCTTATCACTATAAAGACAGAGGTAATTTTTATTCGATCTTGACACCCGGTCAGACTACGACACGGCGCAATTAGAACTGCTGTTAAATAAACGAACCTAGATTTGCCCTTTGACTTCACTCATGTTATACTTATTGTAATTTAAAAAAAAATATATTGTTCATCTGATTGTTTTGAAAATTGGTACAGTTGCTTCAAAAAAGATTCTTTGTCGTTGTATATCTTCGTCTCTGTGCGATAGATGGCGTGAATGTCAACCATTAAATGCACTACATCTCTTGTATGAAGAGTTAGAAGTAAGGAGGACTATCTCAAAGTATTAAAGAGTGTCCGTTGAAAAGAAGCCAATTAAGGTGGCGCCACAGTAGCCAGAGAAAACATTTTTAAAAACACCTCCATAAACTATTACATAAATGAACTTTTTCCACCCAACATATTTCGCTCTGCTTAAAACTGCTATATTCATATCATTTCCACTTCCTACACTAGCGCTATTTCGGCAATAAATTGCTGTTTTTTTTTAATTTTTTATCGCTTATATGAGTGGACGAGTTCACAGCCCACCTGGTATTAAACGGTTACTGAAGCCCATAGACATATATAACGTAAATGCGCCACCCACCTTAAGATATAAGTTCTAAGGTCTCAGTATAGTTACAACGGCTGCCCCACCCTTCAAACCAAAACGCATTACTGCTTCACGGCAGAAATAGGCAGGATTATAAGTGGACACTTCTTGAACTTTGGTAGGCAGCGGCTTGGCTCTGCCCCTGGCATTGCTGAAGTCCATGGGCGACGGTAACCACTCACCATCAGGTGGGCCGTATGCTCGTCTGCCTACAAGGGCAATAAAAAAAAAAAAACTTGTCCCCTATACAAGATGGAGCTCCTTACCTCTACCCTTCATAATGCTAGTTCTATCCTCCATAATCTGTTGACAAACCGAAGACTGGTAAGTCAACAAATCAGTAAACGATAGTTCACGTTTCCTTCCAGAGTGATGCAACAGGCGGGCGAGTGGTACAAGCAGAACAAGCAGCTCAAGCGGCGCAGCACCGTACTGATGCAGGCCTTGCCCGTCCCGCCCGTCGACATCGACCTCACCGACACCACCGACACCGGTCAGTGCGGCCCTCGCAACCATCACTGAACTAACTGAGCTTGTGATGCCCAAACCAAACCATAACTACCCACATTTGATATCAAATAGTGATCTTCTATATCAGCGATCGGGGAACCGGGGTAAATTACCCCAAATAGGGTAAAATGAAATTTTGGGGGGTAAAAATGAAACTTTTGTGAGTAAAATGTATATATTGAAGTGAAGCTTCTTTAGAATCATTAAATTTTTAGTTAATGTTTTCTTTTCAAAATTATCATGAGGGCTATAATATTAAAGATACTAAAAAGAAGCGCTTTCGTTTTTGAAGTGAAAACTTCTTTAGAATCGTTGTGATTTCAAACCGGATGCAACGGAAAAAACGACAGGTAAGAGACACAAATACAAAAATGTGTAGGATGAAGCCAGCAAAGAATGAGACAGAAATATATATACCATTTAATACAGCGCCATCTGTGAGATTTTTTAATACTAACGTGTGTATGAAAGCTCTTGTAGTGAATTTTAATTTAGGATTATACGTAAAATTAAAATATCAATTCACAGAGGGCGCTACCTTACAATTATTTACTAATGACAAAATTTTACATATACTTAAGACGTTTAGGATAATTGTATTTTAATTTTGGAAGGTTTCACTTCTACCACGTGTGAATTGCACACATGTAATTTTTTTTTTTTTTGTTCTTCGCCACGGAGTAATATCAACTTACACACAAATATTTTGGGGTAATAATTAAAAAAGTTCCCCGACCGCTGTTCTATATCGTTCCCTCGCTGCTGTGGATCGCGACTACATGTGACATTCCTTCACTGTGTTCGATCATGGGTGGCACGAACCGCATGGTACAGACTACCACCACCAAATAGTGATACAATACACTAAGGGAATCGAGGTTTTTTTTTTAAAAAGTAAATCTGCTGGTAGTCTATATAAAAGTAAAAATAATTCCTTCGATATATCCGGCAGCGTCAGACACGAGCAGCAACGAGGAAGTGGAGTTCCTGAAGCAGACCGTCACGGAGCTGAGCAGGCAGATCGCGTCGCTGCAGACAGACCTCAACACCGCCAAGCTACAAGAGTTTGAGGCTCACGAAGCCAACGTGGCTCTGTCGCAGGTACATGGAGAACGGTTTTTTATTTTTTATTTTATTGCTTAGACGGGTGGACGAGCTCACAGCCCACCTGCTGTTAAGTGGTTAGTGGAGACCATAGACATCTACAACGTAAATGCGCCACCCACCTTGAGATATAAGTTCTAAGGTATCAAGTATAGTTTCAACGGCTGTCCCACCCTTCAAACCAAAACGCATTACTGCTCCACGGCAGAAATAGGCAGGGCGGTGGTACCTACCCGCAAGGACCATTAAAGCCATAATTACTTAGTTTTTCTAATTATTGCATAAATTGCTGAATAAGTTCACGGCCTCTTTAGTGTTAAGCGCATACAAGAGTCCACAGACATCTCAACGGGAATTCCGCCACCCACCTTGATACGTGAGGTCGAAATCTCAGTGGTATTATGTAATGCCTCAAACCAGGACGCATCACTGCTTCGCAGCAGAAACAGGATACTAGTACCTACCCGCACTGGTCTGGAATACCCAACTACCAGTAAACGCGTTTATGCTTTTATTCTACTTATACTACAGTAAAAAGCTTTTTTTTAAAAAGACAATTGCAAAAATAGCAGTCTTTCATTTCAGGAAGTAGAAACAGAGAAAGAAAAGCGTCTGGCGCAAGAGAAGGAGCTGCAGGACTTGAGGGTTCAGTTGGAGAGACACAATCGCGTGTCGAAGCTGCTGATGGACGAGGTGTCCGCCTTGAAGGAGAATGCGGATAAGGACAGAGAAATGGCTGAAACGTGAGTTTCGTAAAAAAATATTACCAGTTAATGCTTAGTAAAGATTTCCTACTGTGGGATGTGACGTCACGAGATTCTTAAGAATCCAAACTCAAGCCCTCACGAGGGCATCATTTTTGTTGTTGTCAAAACCAACAGAGCCATGTTGATCTCGGTTGTCATTGGCATTCATGTTGATATCACAATTTCAAATTTCAATATTTCTCAAGTGTTTTTATTTTGTAAGAACTGCTCACAGTAAGGGGCACATATTCCGCGCTTCGGTAAGTAAATCTGATACATGCCGGCATATTCTTTTCGGTTTTTCTTTGATAATTCTTAGGGCGTTGTTAGTATCGCAGATATGTGCCATTGAAGTCTAACGGTTTTTACGTCACATGAGCCTCCCCCTGGTCAGGTACCGGTCGGAAGCCCGCGCGGCGAAGAAGCGCGCGGTGGTGTTGGCGCACCAGAGCGCGCTGCTGACGGGCGAGCTGCCGCCGGACGAGCGGCTGGCGCGGCTGCTGCAGGAGCTGGACAGCTTGCGGGACGCGCTGGACGACCAGGCCACGCGCCACCGCGACCAGCTGCACGAGCTGCAGGTGCGCGCCACACACATCACCTCGCGACCGCGTCTTTAAATGATGGTTTTCGCACAATGGCGACAAAAAACTAATTTAATTTTTTGGCCAATATTATGATGTTATTGTGAAAACAGTTCATAAAAACTACATACATCCACAAGATTCTGTATTTATTATTTAACAGTTGTTTGTTAAGTCGCTGGCTTCGATAAAGCTCGAAGGACCAAGTTTAAATATTAATTAAAGATTAATATGTATCCCTCAAACTCGAGTGCCTGGACGTTCACCTAAAGCTAGTAAACGAACGAACAGATACTCACTCACTATACCAATTGTAAAGTGACGTTAGCGATTGATGTGGAAGGAAAGTGGGAAGTTTAAATATTTTAATATTACAAATAATTATTTTTCATTCATAAACTAAACATATAATTATGCCATAGAATTCTGAGCATAAGACTTATTCATCATAAAATAAAACATTGTTTTATCACAGCTGAAACTAGCAGAGAAACATGAGGAGACTGATATCCTGCTGTGGGAGGAGAAGATCCGCTTAGCGGAGGAGGACGCGGAGAAGGCGACGCGGCGCGCGGAGCTGGCCGAGCGGCGCCTGGCGGAGGCCGAGCGGCGCCCCGACCTCGCCGCGCGGACACCGCGCGACGCCGAGACCAAGGTCAGCAGCAGAACACAGCAAGCAGTCTACGGGGCGTAGTACTGCCCAGGGGTGCACCCCGCCACTCCAGTCTATTTTTATTGCTTAGACGGGTGGACGAAATCACAATCCACTTAATGTTAAGTGGTTACTGGAGTCCGTAGACATCTACAACGTAAATTCGCCACCCAACTTGAAATATAAGCTCTAAGGTCTCAAGTATAGTTACAATGTATGTCCTCCGTATGAGTATGTCCTTTTGGGGAGGCTTAAACGGCAAAGGGAAGATCTTCCACCGAGCGGGTGATATTGCTCGTTAGACCGACGGTCGGAATGTTGTTGTTCGGAACTTGTATATATGCGAACTTATCTTGAAAATCTCGTGAGCGAGATTCAGGCATCTGTAAAATATCTTGCGTTGTATAATAGCTACCCGCCGCATCCTCTGTAATGAAGTCTCTCTGTCCCAGCTGGCGGAGGCGGAACGGAAGCTGTCGGAGCTGGAGCGCAGGGGAGGGCGGCGCTCGACCCTCATGTCGCGGATCAACTACTTCGAGAACGCGGGCGGAGACAGGAGGGACGTGCAGAGGGAAACAAGAGAACTTCAAGAAGTCAAAGAAGTGGCCGAAGTTGTAGAGATGAGACAAGAAGTCGCAGAAGTCACCGAGCCCTCAGGTCAGTTCTAATCCCGCAGCCGCTCGCGCACGTCAACGTAGAACCAGCGCCATCTATGTAACAGGGTGCACATTGTCACTGTTAGTACCAATAGTCCGTATACGATTAGATTATAGAATAAATCGTTTTTATTTTTAAATAGATTTTAAAAACAACGAAACCGTAACAATGTTAATTACCGCTTATTAGTGAATGGATTAATTCACAAATTTATTTTAAAAATCAGAGTTTATCCACTGCAGTGCTTTGATATCTGCTTCTACCGACAATAGCTGCGGACGTTCGACAGAGATACTCCTGTTACGAACTCGTCCCTGCATACACAAATAAATATTCATATTAGCCTTTCCTTTGCGTCACAAATAAAATGACTATCACATTAATATAACAAGTTTTTTTCCACTTTATTTATTTATTGCTTAGATAGGTGGAAGAGCTCACAGCCCACCTGGTGTTAAGTGGTTACCTTACAAAGGGTTGCAAGAAACTCACAAGAGGTCCTATTACCCAGTACCCTACAGTGCTAGGTCCGGAGCTATAGTAATCGTAGAAATGATCGACAGGTCCGGCAGTATCTGCGTGTCCCCCCTCGCCGCCCGCTGTTCCGGAAGTGGCTGAACGTGCCCCCTCGCCGGTCGCGCCCCCCGCTCCCCCCGCCCCGCCGACACAGCTCCCCCCGCCGCCGCCTCCTCCCCCTCCCCCTCCGCCGCCCCCGGCAGTGTTCAACGCCGGGCCGACTGAAGACATGGCCAAAATGTTGTCAAACAAACAGGGAACTCTGAAGAGAAGCAAGCAGAACAATGGTGAGAGATGGCTTCACTTTTTTGTTTATCAATTAAAAAATAATATTACAGTCTTCCACCGCCCAACTGATGTATATGTTACATGCTGGAGAAACCACAATTATTATCAACATCGTCAGACATCGTACGGACGAATAAGGTGTTCGAACTAAGATAAAAATGGAGTACACCAATCACGTTTGTTTTCTTAGAACAATTAAGTAATCTTTTCTTGACGTTAGCAAATAAAAACGAATGACAGTTCTTAGCACAGAGGCGCCGCTCTTCAAGAAGGCTGATTGGTAAGTGTGATGGCGTCTACGCGCCTCCATGGTTAGGCTCTGTCGTAGCACGCAGTTAGCCGAGTTCCGACGATGCCGCGATCGTGCTGCCATCTCTCGGGTATCGTGCTGCGTTTAGTTTAGCTACCAAACTAATGACCGTCTCCGACATACATAATATACGACACAATGATGTTTCAGAAGTAATTAATCCATGTACCTTCTCCGCCAGGTGGCGCAATCGACGCTATAGTGGACCAAATAAAAGGAGGGAAATTCCAATTAAAGTCGACTGACCAGAACTTCCTCGAGCGAAAACCCAAAGACGACCAGCCAGAAGCTGTCAAGGAAATGCTGGCCATCCTCGGAACGCTGAGGAAGAGACGCAACGTGAACCGGCCCTGCTTCGTGGCCGGCGCGGAGAAGCACGGCGACGACAGCCTCACGTAATGACAGCTGTCAGATTTGACACACGTCAATATATAGAGCATAAATATTTAGTGGAAAGCAATGGAACAAAACGGATGGATATGTTGCCATATCTGAACTATAGTTTGTTTAAAACGTATATAATTACGATATTTGATATTGTTAACGTTTCTTCTGTAAAATTGAGAGACCGCCACTCAGATAACTTCTGGCTCTCGGTGACAGATGCTAAACTTCATATTGTGCCAATCTCGCCAAGGAGGGATTTTGAAACTCAAATCATTAAGAGGACTTTTGGCGGGAACGCGAGAAGTGAAGTTGTGTGATTTATTTTATTGTGTCTAATTTAGTGTTTCTTCAGGATTAAATGCGTAATAATGGTGGTTTATTAACTGTTTAGTAACTAAAATTGCACAAACGTGGGAAAATGAAACAAAGCCGCTGGACGTAACTTCTCGGGATCCTATAAAAGTCCACTGAAAAAGTCTCAGTAAATGACCACCATTTTACTGAGATTATATTTCATCCCATATCATCTCATCTCACCTCATTAAAAATATTAGGCTGTATAGTATGATACTTTTGCCTATAGTATGATACTTTTGCCTATAGTATGATACTTTTGCCTTTCCAGTTGGAAAAATAAAACTAATACTATGGATATACAAGAATTGACATCTAAAATTCGGAATGCGACTAAGATCTCAGAGACCCACTCGTCGTAGTCCGTAGTTTTTTTTTTCATAAGTTAACAACTATTAGTCGAAGGATTCCGTATATCTGGTACTTTGTATTTTGTATGAATTTTAAATTAATTAACTTTACATTTGGAAAACAAAATTTTACAAAACCTAGGGTAAACATTCCGAATTCATACAAAATTAGCTCAGTAAAAGTAGAGAATTGTCTCCCATGTGTTTTAAAATCAAACATTATTGAATATGTAAACAAACCGAAGTGCCTTAATATAAGAGTTTATAAATAGGATTAGTATATTTACACCAAGATAAGATAAAATATATATTTAAAAATATATTTGTATAATAAATTAAAAGAATAGAATGTAATTTTGTTGTTTAAGTAATTAATAAAATGTATTCTCATTAATAATAAGATAGTATACAAATTGAAAAAAAAAAGTTTTTAGTATTTTTTCTGTCAATTACACAGTTACCTGCGGTGCCATTACATTCGAAAAATGCATTTTGTAAAGTATTATGTACAATAATATATTTTCTAAGATTTTTAAATATTTACAATAAAATTGTTTTAAAGTGAGTAATGTTTTTTGACCTTTAATCGAAGATTTGTTCTTGTATGAATTTTAACTAGATTTTGCCCGCGACTCCGTCAGCGTGGAATAGTTACTTTGGCATTACGCTAAATTTTACTCCCCACTTCATTTACGTAGAAAGTGAAAATATTTTGAAACATTCTTTATTGGTGCCCCACTTGTATCGGTCTTGCCGTGATGTTATATAGCCTATAGCAGGGGTGGGAAAATATTTTGATAGTCGGGCCACATTGCAGATGAAAATTTGACCTCGGGCCAGTTTTTTTTCTAATTTTAAGTATAATTTTTACATACTGTAATTGTTCAATTATCATAACTATATTTTCGAATAGGAGGCGCTGAAAAGAGCGGTTGTCCGGGAGAAAAATTTGGCTCCCACCGGACTTGATAATGTGTATAAGTATTGCTTAATAAATTATCTAAAAAATTTTATGCACCAATTTATGTTAGACAAAAACAAATATTTATGTTTATAATAATAATATATACAAGGCTTCCAGGGCCATACAAAGTTCTACCGCGGGCCGCCATTTGCCCAGTCCTGGCTTATAGCCTTCCTCAATAAATAGGCTATTTAACACTGAAAGAATTTTTAAAATCGGACCAGTAGTTCCTGAGATTAGCGCGTTCAAACAAACAAACTTTTCAGATTTATAATATTAGTATAGATTCACATTTCAATAGTTTTCGCATGGGCAGACGAGCTCACAGCCTTTCCGACATTAAGCAGTTATCGGAGCAAATAGACATCAGCGGGAATACTACAAGCCAAACAGTCATACATGCCTAGTTACTTCGGCAACAGAGGAACTTACGTGTATGGATACATTACAGTACATTTTATAATTAAGACTTCGTGAACAATGCTAATCGTCGTCGAAGAAAAACTTGATACTTCATAACAACTTTATTCGATAATTTTGTATAAAACAAACATCAAACGTTGATAAATAAACAAGTAGTATTAATTTCGAATGACACGTGATCTTAAGACCGTTATTCGCTTGTAAGGAGAGCGGATCGACTTGTTCAAAGTTTCTGAAAATAATTAAGATAATTATTTTAATTTGAAATATTACATTTTTTTTCCTACCTATGCTGACCGCCTTGACAAATTAAGTTACTGTTATAATTTTGCGCTACATTTAAAATTAACGTATGAATTTATTGATCAAGGGGTCCATGTGTTCGATGGAAGTCTATCCTCTTTGTATAAATCAGAGAGTTTCTTAATTATGAGTCTTGCAGCAGAGATGCGAATGTTGCGATGGATGCGTGGAGTAACGAGAATGGACAGAATACGGAATGAATATGTTAGAGGAAGTCTGAAAGTGGCACCTGTGACAGAGAAGCTGAGAAGTGCGCGTTTGGGATGATATGAACATGTGATGAGACGAAATGAAAATGAGGTTGGTAAGAGAATGTTAACTATGAATGTGGAAGGATATAGAGGAAGAGGTAGACCTAAGAAGAAATGGATGGATTGCGTGAAAGACGATATGGGTAAGAAGGGGAGTGAGCAAAGAAATGGTATATGATAGAAGAGTATGGAAGGAGGAAACATGTTTCGCCGACCCCAGGTGACTGGGAGAAGGGCAGGATAATGATGATGATGATACATTTTACAGACAACGGAAACTTTAAATACTCAAGTCACCATTTATGATATGTTATGAACATCCGCCAATAGTTATTCGTCGAAAATAAAACAAAAAAAAATAAAGAATACTTTTCATTTATTCAACATTATTTGATATGTTACAAAATATGCAATCAACACTGAAATCATAGAATATACAACTGACAGGAAAGAAAAAACCGAAAAATACATAAAAGTGTGGAGGAAAAACTTTGTTGTTAATAATTTAAAAAAGAACATGGAGCGACTAGTCATTTATGTTAACGATAAATAAATGTTTACAGCATTCCGGGAGATTAATAATTAAGTTAAATAATACTATAAATAAAATTAAACAAAATTATTATTTTACAAAGTATAGGTAGATGTTACATTAATATTATTTTCCAAATAAAATCTAAAAGGCTTTAATCTAATGCTGGATATATTGTGAATTGCGAATAAAGAGCTTATGTACTTGGGGTGCCCTCGCCGTTGTTTGGAAGTCAAAGCCGGTTCGGGACTAAAAGAAAAATGAAAAAAAAGTTGAATCGCACAGCCGCGCTGTCAAACACGAACTATTGACGTATGTCAAAATTGAAGTAAATTATCTGTGCCAGTTCTCTAATGAGTTTGACTTATCATTAATTATTGTATCTAGTGTAACGATGATATTAATAAATTGTTCCCCAAAGTAATGAACATTTTCCAAACAAGATATGACCTAAAGGCCAATGTCACCAGGTCATAGAATAAAAAAAAAATAAAAAAAAATTGTTTGCGTAACCATCTATCAGTAGTGATCAGTCATGCTACTGACAACGTTATTGCATTGGTAACAAAACGCGACTTTCTCCTTTATTTTGCTCATCATTGCATTTGACATTATAGCCAATTTCGAGAGACCCGTGCTTAGTTCGAGTTTTTCTAACATTCTCGATCGCGTAAAAGCTGACTCAACTTTGTATGGAGTTGGAACAGCGCCCCTAGCGGCAGACGAAGGGAAATTATTCCAACTCCATACAAATTCTTCATCACTCATAAACACTTCTCAAGTAACTAAATTTTTTCTTTGAAAAAGTGTAACACAACATGAGTTCTGATGCCACATAATAATTTAGTTCTTCAGGATTCGTGAATACCATAAGACGTGAAGCATAGGCTATTTAAGCATTTAATATTCATAGCAAAAAAATACAATCTAATTTGTGCACGGTACATGGAAATTTAAGTACTAATTCGGTTTTAAAAGCGTCTCTCACTAATTAAAACTACAATTAAATTAAACTACATAAAATAATATTATACTTAAGATACGAAGAAATGGTAATTACACATAAGATCCCCAAGAGTCAAGGTGTGGAGTTGCCCAGTCCAGTAAATAAGATGAGATTACCACTTAAAACGCAATGTTGACAATATGAAATCGCGGTATTAGCATTTAAGAAAAGTTCACGATTAGAAATGTATGACAAGTTTTAGTTTTCGGATATCTTGTCTCAAATTATGGACACACGTATTCGACTCAACTTAAGTTATTGAACATAGTAAGGACTTAATAAACCTCTTGAAAAAAAAAATTAAACATCACAAAAAATATATTTAAAAGCAATTTCTATTAGATTCGATACTACATTTTCTATTTCACACAAAACTACATCTACAAATGTTTTAAAGTGAAAATTGCGATTTTTACTGTTTCATGATGTGTGCTGTATTTAAAAAAAAATATAATTTCATGAATATTAAAACAATTCACATTATTCACTCATCTACACAAAATTAATTGTTATCAATTATTAAATAAAACAAACCCTAATCATTACACACAGACATGATAAACCTTAGACTTTTTTCTGCGAGCAATTAAAAAATTAAATTTAGTATTTTGTATTTACTATCACAATTTTCACTTTAGTCAAAGCAATATTAAAAAAAATCGTTTAAAAAAAATAATCACATCGCTCTACAACAACGCACTAAATAATAATTATTATCTACACTACAAAAAGAATGCAATCGAAATGAGAAATGTCATTGTAAAGTCAAATCGATCAGGAATCGATCAAATATTGAGACGTGAATAGTAATGTAATCCGACATTATTATTCCACAACAATCTCTTTTCGTTTGCATATTTACACCAAATGCTCCCAATTTTGTTTTCGTCACATCACTATTTCAAATTAAGGCGCAGTGAACCTCTAGTACTATGCTTTATTGTCTATGTAAGACTCTCCTCAGAGCTTAATTGCTCACGCAGTGATCAACTCTAGGATCCTTCTCATCAATTCGCACATTTTTGTACACACTCAACCCTGACTACGTTTTGGGATTATATGCTTTAAGCTCTCAATAAAATAAATAAGTACTACGATTTTACTTTAGGCAATTGTTTTCAAATAAAACGGAACGTTCGTTCACAAAAATTAATATACAGTTTACATTTTCAAATGGCGACGTTCCGACCGTACCGCCGCGATGTCTTTGTCTAGAGCCAACATTAGTGTATAATCTATGAACCAAACCTACAGACTATAAAATTGTAATAAAGTTTTTGGCGCGAAATCCCGTTTTATTTACACGAATCGCGTGAATTAAAAAAACAAAAAAAATATACTGATAGTTTACTGAGTATTGTTATTCATGTACATAACCGCTTTCCGCATTTCCCGTACAACTAAATCTTTGTTTTGGTCGACCCAGTCGATGTTCACTTTGGCTTTCTCAATCGCTTGAACGACGGCCAGCTTCGTCTCCTCGAAATATTTGGGGTTCTTGTCGTGGAAAATGAGAAACTGAAAAAAAAATAGAGATAAATAAAAAGTTAAAATTGATTTCTGAACAATAAAATGCTTTCATTAAGAAAAACATTGAAAAGTTACCAAAAAAATCAATTTTGAAACTATATTTTTTTTTGTAGCTAGCTTCACACTTGTGTTTCGTAGGTGAACTTTAACTCTAAAGCGTTTGAAAATAACATTATTATTAAACCTTCGTTCTCATCTTGTTTCGTGATTTTACATGATTATTGAAGTGAAACTTCCTTATCGGCGTTGGAAAAAAATTTACCGTCACATTTTTCGGTTACGCGTCACTTTTTTCCGTTACGCGCCATCTGTTTTGTATTCATGTCTATGATAATAAAATCCTTTTGTTTAAACTTTATCTAATTTAACTTTTTTGTATTCATGTCTATGATAATAAAATCCTTTTGTTTAAACTTTATCTAATTTAACTTTTTTGTATTCATGTCTATGATAATAAAATCCTTTTGTTTAAACTTTATCTAATTTAACTTTATTTAACCAATTTCTAGAAAGTTGCATGTAGATCATTTTTCGAAAAATAAGGCCATAAACAAGTTTCACTTCTTACGTGTGTACACTAGTACACGCACACATTTTTATTTTTTATTGTCAATGAACTATAATAAAACAGTAAAATCCGACAAACCTCGTCCAATTCTCTCTGAGTCGTGAACTGGTCCAGCAGAGTCTTGATGATGTAACCGAAGCGGCGGCTCTGACCGTTGAAACTGTGGAATGAAAATTAGTCGTGTTAGATCATCGGCCGGGAGGTACCGCCGGCCTGGTGGTGAGTGGCACTTGACCCATTCCGCTTGGTTCAATAAGCCAAGAGAGTACACCCCAGAGTCAGACGGTATAGTCGCTGAAAACATAACGAACAGATTCCACCTCATAAACACGACCTCTAATGGTGGAATGCAGATGACAGGTGGAAACACTCAAAACCCACATGTGTGAAGAAGGTCGATGCCCACAAACATCATCACAACGCAGATCACTTCAGACGTAAGATCGGAATGTCAATCGCATTACAACATCTACTAGGTATTCGACCAATGAGGAAGCTAATACAGCAACGCGGACGGAGTCGCGGGCAAAAGCTTGTTAATAATAATTTTTATGACAACATTTTAGTCTGTTTGACAATCGAATGTGTGACGTCAGCGGTTGCGGAGTCCGTGCGTCACAGTCGGGGGAACCGTCGACAACTTACGTTTTAAACAGATCATCGATTCGGTTGTAGAAGAACTCCCGCGCGACGTAGTAGCCGACCGGCGTGCGGGCCACGTTACCGACCACGGCGGCCGCGTCCTGCTTGCGCACCGGGGAGTTTTCCGACACCGCCCATTCGAGGAACCTGAAATGAAAACATTTACGCATGTGCTGTTACGACAGGGCGGTGGTCAGCAAATAGATTTTCATTCGGCTGGTGTCGACGCTCAGAGCACTGCGTTTTAACGTCACGTTACAAAACTGAAATGATACCGCGGTTCTTCTTGACGTGAGGTGAGCTCATAGGGCTTAAACTGGAGTGATGGTAACACTGACCCTAGCAAGAGCCGTGCTTCGCAGAATCTACTACCGGATCGGAAACGCGACCCACTGTAAGATCCGGTGAGAAACTCAGTGGGCTGTGTCTATGGGTTAATTTGCTCGTCGAACCCTTCGTCGCAAGCGACGAGGACGGTGACCGGCACTTGTGGTACCTAAAAGCACCGTTAATGGATCGGGAGGATCCGTAATGACGTGTTTTGGGCGACGTCGACTGTTTACCAGTCGGTCTACAGGATCGGGTGATTAGTTTAGTGTAGGAGGTTGTGGTGGTGTAGTGAGTTGTACTTACTGGTTGAGCAGCCAGACCTGCCTGGTGCAGGCCATGGCGGCGAGCATGGCGTCGCGGGCGGCGGCCACGCGCGCGGCCTGCAGCCGCAGCGTGAGGAAGCGCCACTCGCGCTCGCCGCCGCGCGCCGCGCCCGCGCACCACACCGTGCGCCGCAGGTCCAGCGGGATCCTGCACGCACACCACGCTCACACCGGCTCACACCGGCTCGCACTAGCCCACACTAGCCCACACGGCATCTGCGTGCTTAGGGCGAGTTTTATAACGTTCTCGATAGCGTAAAATTAACTCTAATTTGTATGTGTTGTGTGTAGTGGGAACAGCGCCCCTAATGACAAACGTAGGCAAACGTTCCACAACTCCATACATATTTGAGTTAACTTTTCGCTATTGTGGACGTTAAAAAACTCGCACTAAGCACATAGAACAACTACGTTGTCGTGGCCTTAAACTGGATTCTCTTTTCACTCAATACTGGTGGTAGGACGTCTTGTGAGTCCGCGCGGGTAGGTACCGCCACTCTGTCTATTTCTGCCGTGAAGCAGTAATAAGTTTCGGCTTGAAGGGTGGGGCAGCCGTTGTACTATAAACACTGACCTTAGAACATATGTCTCCAGTCTACGGGCTCCGGTAGCCGTTTAACAATTAGGTGGATTAGGTACCATGGAAGCAAGGTAAACAGACTTTTTGAATTTATTGTCACCTTTTCAAAATAAATCAAAATTGTTACAATGCAACGGTCCGATGCAAATACTTCATCTACGCGCGAGTCGTTTTAAATTGAGACACCGACATGTGATCCCCATCGATCGTGTCCTTAGACAAGTACAAATAATTAATGGAAAAAGAAAACTTGCGGATTATTTTCATCCGGATTGGAAGTGTTCATCCACATTTGGAACAGCTCCATGGCGTTTTCCTCGCAGCCCGGTATCAGCGCGCGACAGGCCCAGCCGCTGGTCAACACCTGGAATCGGTAGCTTTAAACTAAAAAGCTCTTCTTACAATTTATGAACAACGTTATTTTCTAGTGTAGTACATATAAGCCATNGAAAAAGAAAACTTGCGGATTATTTTCATCCGGATTGGAAGTGTTCATCCACATTTGGAACAGCTCCATGGCGTTTTCCTCGCAGCCCGGTATCAGCGCGCGACAGGCCCAGCCGCTGGTCAACACCTGGAATCGGTAGCTTTAAACTAAAAAGCTCTTCTTACAATTTATGAACAACGTTATTTTCTAGTGTAGTACATATAAGCCATATAACCTGGAGAGACTCATAGTGACGGGTAAAGTGGATGGAAGACGATCCAGTGGTCGGAGCAGAAAAAGATAGAAGACAACATACAGCCCACCTAATTGTGAGTGGTTACTGTCGCCCATGGACATCAGCAATGCCAGGGACGGAGCCAAGCCGCTGCCTACCATTAAGTTTTCTTAAATATAATAGACAAGTCAAACCCAGCCGTGCTCCTCTGCGACTTGAGAAATATTTAATGACTCTGTAATCTATGGAAACTTGTCGTTACTTGATTGTACTAAATAAGAAACCTTTCCACAAGTATCAACAATTAAAGAAAGCTACTACCAAACAGCTTAAAGCGCGCAAAATACACCAAAACATGAAAATACAAAACGAAACTTAGGTACACACTTCCACTAAAAGCCGCCGAAAAATATCCTATACGAAATCAGCAGTTCAGATCAGTTCACCGACATCACTCACCTGCAGTTTTACGCTGTTCAGATCGTCGCCATTAACGATACGCTTGACGGAGAGGCCTCCAGCCCTTCGATACGAGTTCTGCACCAGATGCCTGATGTAGCTCTGGAAGGCGCTGTAGTCTCCGCTGCGCTTCAAGAGGTTCTCAATCTTGGCCAACCCTCTCAGCGCTGTCGACAGAGGCAGGTACTCCCTCTCTCTCTGGAGGTAGCTTGCAAGACTGCGAATGTTAAACAATATATCAATAAAGTTGAAAGTTAGACGCAGCCATGACTCGTTATTTTTTTTTTTATATATATTTATTGCTTAGATAGGTGGACGAGCTCACATACTGGAGCCCATAGACATCTACAACGTAAATGCCGCCACTCATCTTGAGAAATAAGTTCTAAGGTCTCGGTATAGTTACAACGGCTGCCCTACCCTTCAAACCGAAACGAATTACTGCTTCACGGCAGAAATAGGGGTGGTGGTGGTACCTACCCATACGGACTCACCAAAGGTCCTACCACCAGTAAAGTATCCCTGAAAGCATTGTTGGCCCGACCAGACTCTGGTTCTTTGCCAGACTTCTCGAATACCTGCCTACATACTCACATCAGTGTAGTGGAATAGTTGAGTCTGTTGGTGGCCGCCAGAGCGAAGGCGTCCGATATCAGTTGCACTCTGCCCAGTACTGGGATCTCATCGTACTTGTCGCTGAGCAGTGTCTCCGAAAGAAGTTCCCAGTTACGAGCATCATAATTGACGCGATAAGGTGCTGTGGAGATACGAACTTATGAATCTTTTCGAAGCTGCGATCGGGACTTAATTCCGCTCAAGCGTTACGGAATCGAACTTCGATCACCAAATTATTTTGTGCTTGAGTTTTTATTGCTTAGTTGGGTGGACGAGCTCACAGCCCACATAGTTGTTAAGTGATGTTAAGCCCATAGACATCTACGACGCAAATGCCACCATCTAACTCGAGACATGAGTTCTACGGTCTCAGTTTTTTATAGTTACAACGGTTGCCCCACCCTTCAAACTGAAACGCATTATTGCTTCACGGCAGAAAGAGGCAGGGTGCTGGTACCTACCCGTGCGGACTCACAAGGCGTCCTACCACCGGTAAAAAGTCCTACCACTAGTTTTCCTAGGACTCCGCAAACTTCTTCTTCTCACTGGGTCGCGTTTCCGATCCGGTGGTAGATTCTGCGAAGCACTGCTCTTGCTACGGCCAGTGTTAGCAACACTCCGGTTTGGGCCCCGTGAGCTCACCTACACACGTTAGGGCGAAGCTGAAATAGCCTCTCAAGGCTATCAGCATAGGTAGGGAAAAAAAGTTATATTCGTAAACAACTTACTTACCGATCATATCGGGATTGAAGAGCATCCAGTCGGTGGGCTCTGCGTCGTGCGGGAAGCGGTAGGGCTCGTCCAGGCCCTGGTGCGTCGCGAGCCAGTGCAGCGAGGGCTCGGGCTGCTCGCCCGCGGCCGCCACGCGCAGTGGCACCCACCACGAGCGGTGCGACGCCGCGCGCGCCCCCAGCGACAAGTACCGCCGCTGACCAACACCCAATACATCTCACCGCGCTCTACACATCTCACATCTCAGATCTCACATCACAGGACCTCTTATGAGTCCGCGCGGGTGGGTACCACCACCCTGCCTATTTCAGCCGTGAAGCAGTAATGCGTTTCGGTTTGAAGGGCGGGGCAGCCGTTGTAGCTATACTTGAGACCTTAGAACTTATATCTTAAGGTGGGTGGCGCATTTACGTCATAGATGTCTATGGGCTCCAGTAACCACTTAACACCAGATGAGCTGTAAGCTCGTCCACCCATGAAAGCAATAAAAAAAATCGAGGAGTGACACGTCGTAACCTCAGTGAATGTGACCAAGACTTAAAAGTTGAGCGGGAAGGTCATTTGTATCACTAAATTAGATCAAATATTTAAAAAGCAAGGATTCAACGATTCAACACGTTTGATGTCAGTCAATGAATACATGAGATCCTTACGTCTGGAGACAGATTTTTAAGCTTGCCAATAACTTAAAGGAATAATTACAATATGAGTTAAAAAAAAATGATTGTGGGATTACTGGTGGTCTTGAGGCCTTTCCAGTTTCACCAGGACTGGTGGGCGAGCAAGAGTTAAATTGATATGCTGCATATGTAATTGTGATTACAGCTCGTAGAAGGTATTCAGAATTAAGTTTATAATCAAAAGTATGGCTCTAAATCATCATGGTAACGAATTTGAGTCCTATTCTCAAAAGCTGTGGTCCCATTGCCCTGCAAGCGATGATTTAATGGCCTCATGCACGAGCGCACGACCGTATAAGTAGTTTTAATTATGTCTATATAATAGTCTTAATACAAATGGGAATTGAAACTTCCTACTGCTACCCTCTTACTACCCACACTAACGAACAAAGCTCACCTGAGTGACGCTGACAGACTTGTCTATATAATCCCTGGTGACGGTCAGGATCGGGTATCCGGTTTGCGTGGTCCACGTGTCCATTATCTCCTTGATGGTCACGTTGTTCGCGATCCCTCCCTGCCTCTTACTCTCTTCAGTGAGCTCGTGCCACAGGTCATCTTGTTCGGCGTTCTTCAACGTGTACTTCACGAGGTAACTGTTGAATTAACAATTCATAACATTTGCTTACAGTTTCCATGTTTCAAGCTGTCGCAACTTCAGACTGATACTAGAACCGTGATACCCTGGTACTATGACGTCAATCTTAGAATATTCTCCAAAAAGCATTAATATCGACGGGTTGGTCAAGGGTGTAGACCATATCCAATCCGGGCTGCAGATGTCCCTTTCGTGATCTATTCGTCATTTTTCATAAGGAAATAGCGACTCTTCAAAACCTATTCAAATGTCTCGGCTCCTCTAGTCAGTTTACCGTTTTGTTTTTCTACCTATGCTAATAGCCTTGAGAGGCTATTTCAGCTTCATCCTAGCGTGTAGGTGAGCTCTCGGCGCTCAAACCAGAGTGTTTCTAACGCTGGCCCTAGCAAGAGCAGTACTTCGCAGAATCTACCACCGGATTGGAAACTGAGAAGATCCGGCGAGAAACTCAGTGGGCTATATCTATGGGTTGATTTCCTCACCGAGCCCTTCGTCGCAAGCGACGGGTTCGGCGAGGACGCTGACCGGTGCTTGTGGTGCTTAAAAGCACCGTTAATGGATCGGGAGGATCCGTAACGACGTGGACCGATAATCGGATATGAATTAGAGACTGGAAACGCTCAGGAAGGTAGGTGGGTGCATTGAGGCTATNAGAAACTCAGTGGGCTATATCTATGGGTTGATTTCCTCACCGAGCCCTTCGTCGCAAGCGACGGGTTCGGCGAGGACGCTGACCGGTGCTTGTGGTGCTTAAAAGCACCGTTAATGGATCGGGAGGATCCGTAACGACGTGGACCGATAATCGGATATGAATTAGAGACTGGAAACGCTCAGGAAGGTAGGTGGGTGCATTGAGGCTATCAAGAGTGTATAAAAGATAAAATCAATCTGGCCTGGAAACGAGACGCACGGTCACACTTCCGGAGCCAAAGACGGAGAACGTTAATTTGATGTGGACGTGGCTTTTAGCAATTTGAAATTAGTTCTGTTCAAGAAGAAGCTAGAATTTTCGTTTTGATTTCTTAACTAGTGACTGCTTGCGGTGACCGTGAGGTGGGAGTGTTGTGAGTCCACACGAGTTGGTACCGTCTTATCTGTCTCTGTCGTGAAGCAATTGCTCGTTCCCGTTCGAAGGGGGGAGAGCAGTTCGGTTGACACTTTGAACTTTTATATTTTTTTTATTGCTTAGATGGCTCGACGAGCTCACAGTCCACCTGGTGTTAAATGGTTAACGGAGCCCATAGTCATCTACAACGAAAATGCGCCACCCCCCTTGAGACATAAGTTCTAAGGTCTCATGTATAGTTACAAGGGCTTACGTGGTCTTGTGAGTCCGCACGGGTGTGTACCACCGCCCTGCCTATTTCTGCCGTGAAACAGTAATGCGTTTCAGTTTGAAAGGTGAGGCAGCCGTTGTAACTATACTTAGCTACGTTGCGGTATTCAAGTTGTGATATTTGAAGAACCATTTCAGTTTAGGGGCACAGTGAGCTTCATCACTCATCAATACGATAAAATCTTAGATTACGCTTTCACTTAGATGTCTGTTTACGTACTTTTTAATGGCTTTCCTGAAGACGTCTTCTCCGAGGAACATGACCATCATCCTGATGAGGGTGGAGCCCTTCTTGTACGAGATCTCATCGAATATCTCAAAGATGCGCTTTGGATCGTCTATTGTGACCGAAACCTAGAAACAGTACAAAATTTAGATGTTATTTTTGTATTTTTCCTCGGCTACGATCCTTAATTGATAGCACCGTCCAGGATATTTCGTGTTCCATGTTTCATGTTCCTGTCTCATAGCGCTAGAGCAGCCTTTCCCAAAGTGGGTGATAACGCCCCCTTGTGGGCGCTGTAGGCCTAAAGGGGGGCGGTAAGAGACCCAGAAAAAAATTGGGGGCACCGTGTAGAGGCTTGAGAAGCAGTTGATAATTTCATCTAGGTGGACTCTTAGATACCGAATGAGCTCTCGTTATAATGGTTTTAAGTAGGCGAAAACAATGGGACGCTAAAAAACAATTTATTCTCAAAGTGGGCAGTAGGCAAAATAAGTTTGGGAACCTCTGCTCTAGAGGAAGCGACGAATGTTTCAACTGGTTTTCCTTCTTAACCCACAGACACAGCCTACTGAGTTTCTCGCCGGATCTTCTCAGTGGGTCGCGTTTCCGATCCGGTGGTAGATTCTGCGAAGCACGGCTTTTGCTAGGGTTCGTGTTAGCAACGTCGTCAGGCTTGAGCCCCGTGAGCTCACCTACTAGTTAAGGCGACGATGATATAGCCTCTCAAGGCTATCAGCTTAGGTAGGGAATAAAAAAAGGTGTTCCTATACTCACAGGGTGCGAAGACTCCAAGGCGTCGAGGTTGAGCACGGCCAGCATGTTGTCGACGGCGTAGTTGTTGTCCGCGCGCCACGTGGGCTCCACGGCCGCCACGCCCACGGACGCCGCGTACGTCGCGAACCCCTCGTTCAGCCACAGGTCGGACCACCACTTCATCGTGACCAGGTTCCCGAACCACTGGTGGGCCAGCTCGTGCGCTATCACCTGTTGGTGCGTTAGGTAACATCATGTTTCAAAATACATATTATTATGCTGCCATCTTCAATGACACTGTCAATCTGCCTAGTTTTAGTAGTAGTGTGTTCCGGTTTGAAAAGTAGAATAGCCGTAGTTTACCTTTGAAGGTTAGTATAGAGTATAGATTTATTTGCTTATTAAATTCGCCGTCCTATCCCACCTTGTATCTATATAAGAACTTGGTGTTAAGTTGTTACTGCAACCCACAGATAGCAGAGCGTGAATATAGCTCCCATTTGACAAATCGAATTCTCAAAACGACCATTGCCTCACGGTGGAAACAGGCCGGACAGTGGTATCACTCCGGGCACATAGTTTCCGGTAACCTGACTAATCTATACGACTAATTAACTCACATTAGAGAAAGAAGATCGATCTTTAATTTCAACATTCCTATTTCATTTTTGGAACCAATGTTCCGATTTTCGATAAAAGATTCCATTAAATAATGAATTGATGATTGAATTGAATAATTATATTGACGTCCATTAATAGTCTAAACCTAATTAAAGGCATAATACAAATGAATATGCAATTTCGAAAAGGGCACATCTCTGAAAATGTAAAATGTTCAGGAAATGAAAAAAACTAATTATTTTCTAAAGCAGTGTAAAATTTAAAATATTAACTTTTGAGATATATTTTAGTGTTAATTAGCAATTGAAAATTACTGGGATTATTATAAAATGGGTGTAGGTAAGCCTCCAAACTACATGTATATGAAAAAACGTATTTGACAAAATATGCGACATGTGCTCTTTTCGAAATTACATATTGAAATATATTGATAAGGACACAAATGAGGTTGAGACCTCAAAGAAAGAAACATTCAAAAATATACACGATTCTGTAAAAAGGCAGTTTTGTAAAAAATTTATTTATTGCATCTCGAGATTATCACCAATCATACCTCTGCTACTCTTTCCTTGTTCAAGAACGAGGAGTGCTTCTTATCGTAGAGCAAGGTGGTCTCCCTGTAGGTTATGAGGCCCCAGTTCTCCATGGCGCCGGCCGCGAAGTCCGGAATGGCGATCATGTCCTGTTTAGGCAGCGGGTACTTCACGTCGAACCACTTCTCGAAGTGTGTCAGCACTTTTGGTGCTATCGACTTGGCGTAGGCGGCCTGGTGAAATAATACGCTTTATAAAACAAATATTATTGAGCCTTGAGAGGCTATTTCAGCGTAACCTTAACTAGGTGGTGAGCTCACGGTGCTCCAACCTGACGACGTTGCTAACACGAACCCTAGCAAGAGCCGTGCTTCGCAGAATCTACCACCGGATCGGAATCGCGACCCACAGAGAAGATCCGGCGAGAAACTGGGCTGTTTCTATGGGTTAATTTACTCGTCGAGCCCTTCGTCGCAAGCGACATATATCGTAACGTTCTATCGTGCACCAAGCTTGAGGTACCTATTGCAACTCTAAAATTTTCAACCACAATTATACCTTAGTGTTAGCTGTGTGTTATTGCTTAAATATAAATTAAGCGGTGCTTATATAGCATTGTGATTGAACTGTGTAGCAACAGTTGAAGTCCATCAGAAGGAATTCAGCATAAACCTGAATTACGTTATTGCAAACCTCAAGCACACCTTACGTAACATACGCGTTCCGAAAAACAACAATAATCACAATTACCGAGCAACAATACTCTCTTAGCTTGATAAATTCAAAGAAGCACTGAATTTGTTAGGGCGGATTGTAACTCTCTGTCTGATCTCCGGAGCTTGTCTACTAACCGAAATGAAGCCAGGACAACTCCTCGAGCCTATACTAGTAGTAAGGTAGTAAAAATAGCCCACTCGGAGAAAGGTCTTTAGGTTATTTATTCGATAAAAGTGTACAGTTGGCGGTAGCTGGGTTGTGCCCTAGCATTGCTGATGCTCATGAGCGATGATTACCACTCACCATCAGGTGGGCTGTGTGCACGACTAATTACAGTGACAATAACGAAAACATTAAATATATTCAAATAAATGATGACAATATGATATTCGATGACGGAGGGGAAGAGGTAGACCTAAGAAGAAATAGATGGATTGCGTAAAAGACGATATGTGTAAGAGGGGAGTGAGCGAAGAAATGGTCTAAGAGGAGTATGGAAGGAGAAAACATGTTGCGCCGACCCCAGGTGACTGGGAGAAGGGCAGGAGAATTAATGACGATGAAATGTTATGGTATTTAGTATTACACGACTCCAAATGTAGTTATGTAGTTAGATCTCCTCACCCAGAGGTCTCTAACCATAAACTTACCTGGTCAATAGTGTCCTTGTTAGCCCAGATTCTGAACTTAGTGTCGGACAGCTCGGGCGGGCTCTCCTCGTATGTGAACTTCGAAATGACGTAAGCGACGAGATACGTTGACATTGACAGGGACACGTCGAAGTGGTCCCAGACGAAATCGTAAACGGCTTTACTAAAAACAATACAAATTGTATCATAAAAAAATTTATCAGAGCACATTTTTTTACAAATCTCTACAAAATAGAATCGCCGAAAAAAGACCTCGAAGTTTCAATTGTGGCTTAAAAACATCTTTCCTATCACACAATACTGATTCGCGGCGGAAATGGGCCAGATTTCATCAGTCTTGACTTTTTTTTTATTGTTTAGATGGGTGGACGAATGTGAACCACGGTGGTGGTGGAATGAAACGATTTTGAACCGCATTATCATTTGCGATGAAAATGTTATTCTAATTGATAATTATTAGCGATAATCACGTTGATTAAACCTTAGTTCATGACCTAAGAAATGCTTTAAACGAATTTTTTTCCTAAAAAGAAAAAAAAAAAATACCCGAGAAGCAGTAAAACATTCAACAACTTCTTTACTGGTGGTAGGACCTCCTGTGAGTCCGCACGGGTAGGTACCACAACCCTGCCTATTTCTGCCGTGAAGCAGTAATGCGTTTCGGTTTGAAGGGTGGGACAGCCGTTCTAATTATACTGAGGCATTAGAACTCCTGTCTCAAAGTGGGTGGCGGCATTTACGTGTTAGATGTCTATGGGCTCCAGTAACCACTTAATACCAGGTGGGCTGTGAGCTCGTCCACAAATCTAATTAATACCTCTATATTATTTTAGTATTTAAGTCTCAGAATAATACTGTTCAATATGTTCGAATATTTTAGAGAGTCTGAGAACAGACTTCTTGCGATAGTATCCCAGTTGTAGCCAGCGTCGAGTTTCTTTACTTCAATCATTATTATTGCCATATAAAACACATACAATTCTATGAATAAAAATGAAATGGAGCGGAATAAAATGATTTGTCTGCAATGTTGCAATCAATTGCGATGAAATTGATTTAAATCAAATTGAACGAAGTAAGATGAGACGAAATGGAATAATGTCTCGGTAAAATGGTAAAAATTTACTGAGAATTTAATGAGGATGGTCTTTTGTTTCATTTACCCAACCCTGTGCACATTTTCGGATGCTATACGGTTAATTGGACAATTACTTATTTATTTATTACTGGTGGTAGGACCTCTTGTGAGTCCACATGGGGTGGTGGTACCCTGCCTATTTCTGCCGTGAAGCAGTAATGCGTTTCAGTTTGAAGGGTGGGACAGCCGTTGTAACTATACTTGAGACCTTAGAACTTATATCTCAAGGTGGGTGGCGCATTTACGTTATAGATGTCTATGGGCTCCGGTAACCACTTGACACCAGGTGGGCTGTGAGCTCGTCCACCCATCTAAGCAATAAAAAAAAATTAAAAAAAAATCCCAGACAACTCGCAAGGCTTCGCATCACGCGTCCCCGCCAACAAGTCTTTATTTTAAATGTTTCACTAACATGATGTTGAACGCAATGAGTTTGATAACTTTCACAGAAGGATGATGCTGCCGTTGCTTTGTATGCTATAATCTATGTTATACGCTTTAGGCGGGTTAAATTGTATATTAGTTTAGGTTAAAATGTAAAATCCCCCTTCTTCTAAATCAACTTTTTGAAATGACGGTGGCCAGAACACATTGCTTATAGAGAAGATGTCGGATCAGACTCAGAGTTGTTCAGTGGCGGCCGTTCACGGGAAAGTAGCCTATAGTGGGTATTGAAGGTATTTCAATCGATCATGTGAACATTAGGCTTACTTACTTGAACTTTTGTCCGATAGTTTTCCAAGGCCACGTTTCCTCCAGGACACTGAAAGATAATTACAAAATAATTATGAAACAGAACACTAGCTGCATCCTACACTATATCAGAAGCCTGGAAATGTCGTATCGTTAATTTTAACCGTAAAAAGAACAATATACGTAATATTACAGCCAACATTTTTCTTACTTATAATTATCCGTCGACACTAGAGGCATGTTGGAAACGGCAACATAATTGATGTGATGGCCGATGGATATCTTGAAGGGCGCCTTGTACATCGGTTCGTCAAAGCACGGGAAACCTTTTCTAGCTGATATCGCCTCGAACTGCGTCGTCACCAAATATCTGAAACACGTGACAAAAATGAAAACCATCATTGAAGAAATCGGTTTGCTTTTTTTTCTCCTACCTAAGCTGATGAGCCTTGAGAGGCTATTTAAGCGGAACCTTAACTAGTAGGTGAGCTCACGGGGCTCAAACCTGACGACGTTGCTAACACGAACCGTAGCAAGAGCCGTGCTTCGCAGAATCTACCATCGAAAACGCGACATCTGGCGAGAAACTCAGTGGGCTGTGTCTGAGGGTGGGTTTGCTATGCCCATCGACGTGAATGACCACAAAAACTATGAAACACGTGACAAAAATTAAAACCATCATTGAAGAAATCGGTTTGCTATTGCCCATCGACGTGAATTATCACAAAAACTGTACAGTATGAGTATTCGAAATGTCGGAGATAATGATGATGATGATGATAACAATTAAAACTAGATTAAGTTGCAATAGTAGTTTTTTTTTATTATTTAAATATGAAATAGGCTGAGTGGTGGTACCTACCCGTGCGGACTTATAACACGTCCTACTACCAGTAATTACGCAAATTATAATTTTGCGGGTTTGATTTTTATTTTACGATGCTATATGCCTTCACCGTGGAAGTCAATCGTGAACATTTGTTAAGTACGTATTTCATTAGAAAAATTGGTACCCGCCTGCGGGATTCGACCACAGGTGCATCGTTAGATACGAATGCACCGGACGTCTTATCCTTTAGGCCACGACGACTTCAAATGCGTTTCGGTTTGAAGGGTGGGGCAGCTGTTGTAATTATACTGAGACCTTACAACTCATATCTCAAGGTGGGTGGCGGCATTTACGTTGTAGATGTCTATGGACACCAGTAACCACTTAACACTACGTGGGTTGAGCTGGTCCCCATCTAAGTAATAAATATATATACAGTCAAACCTGGGTAAGTGAGAACTGAATAAGTAAGAAAGAAAACTCTATAAGTAAGAGTAATAGCAAGGACCCGTCATTTTAAGCTCCCAAAACCTCTATTAGCGAGAAACAGAAACCTCTGTAAGAGAGAGTCGTTTTTTCCTCATGGACCTCCGTAAGTGAGACTTGCTACCTATATATATCTCTATAAGCGACAGCCGAGCTTTATTTATTTATTTATATTATTTAGGAGGAACAAATGACAAAACAAATTACAAATTTAACATCTGCTATTTTATGACTCATTTTTAACTTTCGTGGAACTTCCTATCATTGTTTTTGAATTGTTTTCTCGTCAATATTTAACCTATTCTATTTCGTGGAACTAAATAACGTTGTTATTTTATCGTATTCTTTTATCGCATTATTTTCGAATGGACACGTGTGCCTGTGTACCGTCCTGTTTGTCGGACTTACTCAGCTTATCGTTAATCAATTGCGAAGGAAAGTTCTGTTCTGCATCATGTAAAAACGGAAAATTAAAGTACTGTCATTAAAGTCATAAACTTAAAATAGTGAATGCATTTGAATGCGGAAAATCGCGAATCGAAATTTAGAGGGAGCATTAGCGAGAAACTCGGGTTAGTGAGAAACCTCTATAAGCGAGAATGAGATTGTGCTCCCTTGAACTCTCGCTTATCCAGGTTTGACTGTATATAAAAAAAACTTAAAGTAGCATACAAAAGTGAAATCTATGGGTTCCGGTAATCATTTGTCACTTAGTGGGCCGGCATGTGACTTCTCTTGTGTTTTGAATATTTTTTTAATTATACATTAAGTTATATAATCTATATGTTAAGGTTATAGTGAGGTGTTTCAAAAGTTTTTCACAAGCTTTAAAAATATCAAATAAAATTCAAAATCGTTAACAATGAAAACTAAAATTAGCTAAACTAAAATTTAGCAAAAGACAACTCGATTTGAAGTATGTTACTCCTCTTGAAGTCTGTTCCAAATATTCATAAAGTAATTAAAGACACATAGCATAGCACGTGTAATGTTTATTTTCTCCTGTCACTACTTAACCACTTCGCATCAGCAGGGCTGTGGAGGCACGGCTCTAGCCATCTAGAGCAGAGGTTCCCAAACTTATTTTGCCTATCGCCCACTTTGAGAATAAATTCTATTTTAGCATGTTTCGCCTACTTAAAAACCACTTTAATGAGAGATCAGCCGGTATCTAAGAGTCCTCCTAGATGAAGTTACAAATCGCTTCCCAGGCCTCTACACAATGCCCCTAATTTGTTTCTGGGTCTCTTACCGCCCCCCTTTAGGCCTGCAACGCTCACAATGGGGCGTTATCACCCACTTTGGGAAAAGCTGAAACAAAGAAGCAGTGTATTCATATGACTCACTCATTTTTCTTTGTTTTCTTATCGACGTATTTACTGATGTAGGTCCCATCCAGATCTTGCTGCAGATTGCCGTAGAAAGGTATTCGCAGCACGTAGTTGTCGCCTTCATCCAACTGCTGACTCAGCGACAGTGTCAATAAATTGAACGTGTCGTTCAGTTTGACATTGTCAACTGCCACCTCCTTGGGCCCTGTCAGGGTCACTTCCTCTTCCGGTATGCTGAAGCCTTGCGCGTGGAGCACGATCTTTGAGGTCGGTTTGAGGATGTTTAACTAGAACAAAACATTGAAAAGGACTTTATTAACTTGGACAACAACTTCAGATAGCATAGCACAGAATTACCTTGCCGGCAATCATACGTAAATGTTTTAATCCACACCATGCCGCCCATTTAGATCAACCGATCCATCAGCCGATGCATGTGACTAGGAGATGTATGGAAATGGTAGTGCAAGGTAGAGGGGGAAGAGGTCGACCGAAGAAGACATGGATGGAGTGTGTGAATGACGATATGAGAGAGAGAGGAGTGAGTGTTGAGCTGACAGGTGATAGAAGAAAATAAAAGAGAAAAATTTTCTGTGCCGACCGCACCTAGTGGGATAAGGTGGACAAAAAGAAGAACCGATGATAAATACCAAATTGCTCAGTACATGACTAGGGGATTTATCGGATAATAGTTCGCTCATATATGAGACCTACAGTGCAAAAGTGGCCTAACCCACAATTTTTCAGATTCGTGCTTATATATTGCAATTTATTTAAAACATAATAAATTTTGATGCAAAACCGGCCTATCTCTAGTCTCACTCATAAATAGAACAGATAGCTTTGTAAACATTATTTTTGCGCGTATTGTTTTTGCCTATGAAGCAGTGTAAAAGTAAATTCCAACCTCATTATCTCCATACTAACTATGATAAGCTTAGGCCACTTTTGCGCTGACTGCCTCATATGATGTTACGAAAGATCAATATTTAAGCTAAATACAAGTTATTAAAGAAATAAAAAAACAATAGACGAGAATCTATCACAAGTCTAGAGATCGTATTGAAATAATATCGAGGGGCTCATTAATACCAAATAGTCTATATTTGGTTTAAGAGACATTTATCTTTGTAATTAGCATCAATGGTTCGATGTTTTTAATTGAACTCCAATTATGTTTACCCCATTCAAATAGCTGAAGAAGTTTTTTTGTTATGATATTTTTTCCAAATTTTAAACTTTAAGCTTGTGGTGCTGAGTGGTGGGACCTCTTGTGAGTCCGCGCGGGTAGATACCACCACCCTGCCTATTTCTACCGTGAAGCAATAATGCGTTTCGGTTTGAAGGTTGGGGCAGCCGTTGTAACTATACTTGAGACTAGAACTTATATCTCAATTCCGAGCATTTTCATATTTATTTACCTTTTAAACTTTCTCTGGACTCCCACAAATAATTTAAGACCTAAATTATCCAAATCGGTCATCATCTAGTGCTACAAATTTACGCTAACGCAATAGTATCATTGAAGGTAAAATGTTTTATCTGTGTACTCTAAGAGTTTCGATACTGGTTGAAACGAAAAAGCCTTGTAGAAGTATGCGTGTTCACCTCGCATGAAACGCATGCTGATTACAAACGTGTAAATTAATATTAATTAGGTAATAATATAAGGAAAATAAACTATGTCCTTCTTGTCACATTTAATGAAGTGATCAGAAAATTGGGGTGATAATTGTAGCATTTAGTTCAACAACAAGTTAGTATTATCACTACTGTGTATGGAATATGTTAGCCCTGATCAACCTCCTCGGCCAAGCCGGGTGTCACTCTGGATTAGTCTGGATGCATCCATGACATTCCGCCCATATATAAAATCAGGAGGCGCTCGGGTAACTGTTAACAAATACCGCCCCTTTTGGCTGAGCCCTTGCTCGCCCACCTGTCCTTGTGAAACTGGAAAGGCCTCCGGGCCCACCAGAAAACCCTTAATCCTAAAAAAAGATATAAAAAAAAGAAACATTCAGCTATTGCCAAATTAACCATTACAAAACGGCTGATTGTGACCAGAAATAAGCTTTGACTTCGAAATCAGCATTTGCAGCTAATTTAAGGCCGTAGTGCTTTAAGAATTCAACAACATAACTAAATTATACAGAGCGGGTAAATAAATTACTTAAATTTGGTAATTTAAACAATACACCATAACAATGAGTTTAATGTTGTTAATAATATCTTTAATGTTTTATTATCAAGTACATATCGTCCTTAAGTCTATTTCTAACACACAATTGATATTTTATAAACGTGCTCGTCGCGTTACTAGCGTTGTTATTCCGTTTTGAAACGCTAAAATAAAATATAAGTTGCATTGAAATCGACTAGAGAGAGACCTACTTGACCGACCAACACAGGAACATCGCCTTTCAATTTACACGACGCTTCGTAAATTTTATTTTGTACTAGCTGACCCGGCAAACGTTGTCTTGCCATATATAAGATTTGTAGAGAATTTCTAGTGTAGAAAAAAAATTACTAACTTATTGGAAGTGTATAAGGATGTGGAATATGAGTGAAAAAGGCCTGGAGCGCTGTGAACGATGAGGGAATGTTGTTTAAAAATAACAAAACAACAACATAAAAAATTTTTATCAAAAAAAAAAAAAATTAAACACTTAAAGGTTAGAAAAATAGATAGTAGCCGATTCTCAGGCTTACTGAATATGCATAAAAAATTTCATGAGAATCGGTCAAGCGGTTCTGGAGGAGTATGGGAACGAACATTGTGACGCGAGAATTTTATATATTAGATTATTTTATTAACTTTTTGATAATAAAATATTTTGTATCTCAGGAATGTGGACAAGATAGGATCATAATAACAAATTATATTATTATTTTTGCAACGTTTCGGTCTTTTATTAGACCTTCATCAGGCATCTGAAAATTACACATATTGATAAGCAACAATATAAAAACAACAATTGTCAACACTACAATATTTACCGTAATATGAATTTCAACAATCACCATCCTACACTGCACAGTTGCCTTAGACATAATGAATTAATACAAATCAACAAAGCCGATAAATTAGTTAATTATTATTTTTGATCTTAGAAATAAAGCAAACACGACACATAAAAATTTATATTATCATATTTTATTAATAATTATGGACGATAATATTGATAATACTTTTTGATAATTTTTGCTTTTTAATAATTTCGGCTTGGTGGGCGAACTCACGGGGCTCAAACTGAAAGGCATTGCTAACATCTGCCGCAGCGAGAGTAGAGCCCCCCTCCTGGCTGAGCCTTTGCTCGCCCACCTGTCCTGGTGAAACTGGAAAAGCCTCCAGGCCACCAGTAATCCTTCAATCATAAAAAAAAAGTAGAGCTTCGCAGAATCTACCACCGGATCAGAACTGCGACCTATTGACAAGGTTCGGCGAGAAACTCAGTGGCTAATCAATTTATTCATCATTGAATGTTAAATTGCGGGAATTCTGCGATACTTACACGGTCCATTGTAATTTGAACGTTTTAATAGTTTTTTTTTTCCTACCTAACCTGATGGTCTTGAGAGACCATTTCAGCGTAACCTTAACAAGTAGATGAGCTCACGGGGCTCAAACCTGACGTAAAATAGTATTAACAGCTTACGTGTTCATACAAAGATAAGGAAAACAAAAAAATGCACCTATCTTCGTGAAAGCACCCGCTCTTTACAGGACTACAGTCTCAATCCAGAAATTTTAATAGTCTTAACTCTTACTAACCTCTCCTAAGGGATGGTATTATAAGAACAAAATGAATAATATTCACGCGATACGCGTTTACGTAAGTATGGAGACAACCGACAGTGTTCCTATCGAATTAAGCAGTGACGGAAAAAGTCTATTCTGATTTATCTATCTTTTTTCAGCTCTCGACATCAGCATGGTACCGCGGCCCACCGGGTCACGTGGTTTTACGAACACTAGTCAACAAATTCACATTGGAGATTCTAGAATCTTCTCCTCTGCCAGAAATGCACATGAGACAACGACAACCATTCACAGATGCCGAAAACAAAATATCTTATGGCTTCGTCAAACAGAACGCGTACTTAGCGCTGCGTTTTAACGTCGTGCTCTTTTCTTACTTATAGCGCAGGGGTTCTGTTTGACGGTATGTTACCATAGTAGTACAACACATCTCGGCGTCATAGCGCGCCGTCAGTTTAGCGCTCTGACGCGCGCTAATTACGCGTTCTGTTTGACGAAGCCTTTAACGAAGATAATCGTATGTTTGTGATTTTGACCAAAATAAAAATCGTATACTTAGGTATACTTAGGTCGTTATAGTTTTGGCTATTAGAATAAACTTCATCCAAACGCTGCGTGAAATGATCTAATATCAGAACTGAAAGGTCAGATGTCGACCTCATGTTTCAAGTCTCTATAATTTTTTATTTTTTATTGCTTAGATTGTTGGACGAGCTCACAGCCCACCTGGTGTTAAGTGGTTACTGGAGCCCATATACATCTACAACGTTAATGCGCCACGCACCTTGAGCTATAAGTTCTAAGGTCTCAGTATAGTTACAACGGCTGCCCCACCCTTCAAACCGAAACGCATTATTGCTTCACCGCAGAAATAGGCAGGGAAGTGGTACCTACCCGTGCGGACCGCAAGAGGTCCTACCACCAGTGCAAAAAATTTTTTTAAATAATCAACTGTTTTCCTTCTCTTAAAATCAGAATCCACAATTACTTCGCGCCACAAGCAGTTGTGCAACAAAAGCACAGTTGCAGAGTTGCAGTATGCACAGTTGCAGTATGCACACATGTTATGCGCTAACACCATACTACACATCCAGTTAATAGGTACACTTTCAGAATACAAAATACTGGCCGTATTGTGTTTGCACATAAAAACTTTAAGAAGTTTTCCGAGCAACCGAATACAAAACAATAAATTTAACGCGGTCATTAAGGAATGTGAATGGAAAAAAAAAAATAAAAAAAAAAAATCACAGAACCAACAGTCAATGACCTCTCTCGACTGGTGTGTGTGTACATTATCATGCAAATATTAAGCTTAAATTCAACAATAGATGCTTTAACGGTAAAGTCCGGTGTGCGTATTCGTTCGTTTTGTATTCATAAGGACAAGAATTTTAATTTGGAACATCTATTCTGTGTGTGTTCAATTTAGTGACAAGTTTGAGAAGCGCTAACCGTCTTTGTGAATTGTGGTATCCATTAGTCATTATTCACGTCATTACGGATCCTCAAGATCCATTGACAGTGCTTTTAGGTACCACAAGCACCGGTCACCAACCTCGTCGAACCCATCGCTTGCGACGAAGGGCTCGACGAGTAAATTAACCCATAGACACAGCCCACTGAGTTTCTCGCCGGATCTTCTCAGTGGGTCGCGTTTCCGATCCGGTGGTAGATTCTGCGAAGCACGGCTCTTGCTAGGGTTTGTGTTAGCAACGTCGTCAGGTTTGAGCCCCGTGAGCTCAACTACTAGTTAAGGCTATGCTGAAATAGCTTCTCATGGCTCTCAGCTAGGCAGGGAAAAAAAGAGAACATTTGTTGAGTACGTATTTCATTAGAAAAATTGGTACCCGCCTGGGATTCGAACACCGGTGCATCGCTCAACACGAATGCACCGGGCCACCAACCACCACCAGGCCACGACGACTGTTACGACACCCACGAGAAGAAATTGGGTGGTGCTTCTACAGAGAGACACCATGTAGCTCAGTGGTGACAGCGAAAATCACATAAGTGTATAAACTGAAGAAAATAAATTTGAAAACATAAGAAATAGCTTAAGAATAAACTTACTTTAATGTCGACACGGCCGAAGTAGCTGAAGTTCGTCGCCGGATCCACGTCGTAAATGAGGAGCACGTCATAGAATGTCGGCACCACATCGCCGGGCAGCAGGTATTCGCCCGTGGACAGCAGCGCACAGGACAACAATAAAATAAAATGCAAGCACGCCATTGTACCTGTGAACAAAATGGTAAACATATTATTAGTGACTAGCTGATCCGGCAGACTTCGTAGTACCTCAATCGATAAATAAAAGACCTAAACTTTTGTATAAAATAAACTTAAAACAAACAAAAGGAATCCGTCCGACGGGGGACACATCAAAGGAAAAGCAAAATTGTTTTTCTTAGTTAATTTTTACCTTTTAAACCTTCCCTGGACTTCCACGAATAATTCGAGACCAAAATTAGCCAAATCAGTCCAGCTGTTCTCGAGTTTTAGCGAGACTAACGAACAGCAATTCATTTTTATATTTAAAGAAGATAACTGAAGCGCGGGCTGTGACCCACATTCCGTCCATGGAGCCGTTACTACCATGGAGCCATGTGGGTTGCGGAATTTCCACTTTATGATGTCTATGAGCCTCCATGATCACTCAACACCAAACGGGCCATGAGGTTGTCTACCCATCGACAGATATACGAAGATAATACTCATTAAATGACACCGGATTCACCTTTACAAAGTTTTAAGATAAATATGAAAACCGTTGACATTGATATCGAATTCTATGAATTGAGTCGACTATTATCAAAGCCGGCAATTAAATGTGACTTTTGGACAATTATTGGTAAATCAGAAAAACGAATTATTGACTTTGTATTCCATTGGCAGTCACAAAACTCTTCTGAACGACATCTTAGATAAATAACAGGTTAAGTATTAACCTTTATTTAATGCAGGTTTTGAACCGTATTCTTTGAAGGAGACGATTATATTCAAATCAATCTGTATTGACATATCANACTTTGTATTCCATTGGCAGTCACAAAACTCTTCTGAACGACATCTTAGATAAATAACAGGTTAAGTATTAACCTTTATTTAATGCAGGTTTTGAACCGTATTCTTTGAAGGAGACGATTATATTCAAATCAATCTGTATTGACATATCAATAACATTTTTTTGTCCAAATGCACAGATTGCCACCTTTGATAATAGACGACTCAATTAACCCATTATCTTGCGACCTTCATAAAAACAGCACAATGGATTTAAACATGCAAACATGAAGACACAAATAGCCCGTATGTCAAAACGTTTTATTGAGGTAAAATCATTTCGTAATGTTTTTGTCACAAGGATAAATAATATCATGAATATATAAATACGTGCGGGTTATTTAATATATTTCGCAAAAGACATGTGACTAAGGTAATTTAAAGCTATTTTATTTAAAAAAGAAAGATAACATTTAGTCAAAATTCATTTTAAAATTGAAAGCTTACAAAAGAAACATACATATTAATTATTACCTTCATTTAACATTTTTACAAATCACTGTTACTGACATTAATATGGATGATTTTTTATCTGATATAAATAAATTTAATAATAATAATCACATAACTTAATCAAAGTTTTAGGGAGTAAAATATTAATGACACGTATATTATTTTCATAGAAAAAAAAATTGTCTCCGTTTTTAATGATTTATCAATTTTAAACGCGCGCTTTAGTTCCGCCATCTTGCCTATTTTTGCGATGAATACATTCTGATTTGAGCTGCGGGCCAGCCGTTATACAATTAAAATTCAAACATCACTTTTCGTCTCAAAAAGAGTCACTCACATTACGATTTGCTATCTATGGACTCCAATAGCAACTTGACATAAGTGGACGGGATTTTCTACGCAATAAATATTATTTGAAGGTGGTTACTTTTTAATACGCTTTTATTAGCTTCATACGTATGTATGTTTGTAACGGAATCTTTGAACATGATTTTGACCCCCTTCAAATCGTCGGATTAACTCGAAATTCGGTATACTTGTTAAGGACCGATGACAGATCAATATAAAAACAAAGTTGAAAAAAATGAAATTCAACTAAAAAATAAAAAATAGTTTAAAAAAACTAACAAATACGCTTTTATAGAAAATCCAACTAAAAGTAGAAAATGAAATCCAATAAATTTGAATTAAAAATTGTGTAAGAAAAAATGATTTTATTGTAAAAAAAGCGTGGGGTGCATGTTATCAGTATATCAATTATTTTATGAACAGATATGAGTAGAAGGGTTATTTTCAAAATATCCTGAAAAGCACCCCACGCTTTTTTCCAATAAAATCATTTTTTTTTATTTTCTATTTTTTTGTTGGATTTTCTATAAAAGCGTATTTTGTTAGTTTTTTTAAACTATTATTTATGAGTTTTATTTGCCTACCTATCGTTAGTTAGATATTATACCTCGGGTGATTTTGCTAGCTTCATCGAACGTGTAGACATGCTCACGGGGGCTCAGTCTGGAAACTTTACTAACACTAGCCCTAGCAAGAGCAGTGCTTCGCTGTATCTACCACCGGATCGGAATCGCGACCCACTGAGAAGTTCCGGCCAGAAACTCAGTGGGTTGTGTCTGTGAGCTAATTTACTCACTGACCATGACCGGAGCTTGGAGTGCATAAAAGCATTCGGAGGATCCGAAGTGACATATTTTGGGCAACGGCGCGACTGTTTTAGAGTTTTGAGTTATTTTACCTTGTTAGAGGAACCATGAATAAATCTTATTCCTATCATTATAGAGAGAGAGAGAGAGAGAGTATTCTTTATTGTAAACCAAAAAACAAATAAACAGTGCGTTACATTAAACACAAAAAGTACAATTGGCGGTCTTATCGCTAAGAGCGATCTCTTCCAGACAACCATCAGGTGGACGAGAATCATTTGGAAACGAACTACGCGCGGTGTACCAATCCAGTGAAATACATATACATATATGTACACATACATATACACATACATACATATATCCGTAAATATACATACAATTAATACACAATGTATTATAATATAATAATAATTATTAAATTATAATACGTACTGTCTTAACCACAACTAGTTTACGTTACTTGAGGAGTTCATCTGTCGAACAGAACGAATGACTAATATTATTATAATAAACTTATGTATGTATTTATACCACGCGCTTTGCAATTAGAGACCGCGGCGTCACCATAATAATTTCGCATTAATTTGTTAAAATTATTTGTTACACCTTTTTTTTAATTGCTTAGATGGGTGGACGAGCTCACAGCCCATCTGGTGTTAAGTGGCTACTAGAGCCCATGGACATCTACAACGTAAATGCGCCACCCACCTTGAGATATAAGTTCTAAGGTCTCAAATATAGTTACAACGGCTGCCCTACCCTTCAAACCGAAACGCATCACTGCTTCGCGGCAGAAATAGGCAGGGTGGTGGTACCTATCCGCGCGGACTCACAAGAGAGAGTTTGAACTCTATATCGTTTAAATAATTATTGGTGTTTGTAATTAATTTAGTACCGGTAAAATGGGGCGATTAGGGACAAATTCCAACTTTATGAGCAATTTTAAGGTAGTTGTTGATGTATACAATGCTGTATCAGGATCAAAATGATTGAGTCTTGGGGTCATCTTTGTTGTCTAATTTAAAATTATGCAACTAGCATTCCAGTTTAAGCAAAAAATGCAAAAATAGGTGTAATCCCTATTTACCCGAAAATTGCGGTTAATTGGGACGAAATGAGAAATTTGCTAGGGTTGGCACTACTTTTATTTTTATATATAGTTTTAATTTATTTATTTATTTAGTTGCACCAACAAAGTGATCATCAATAAAAAAAATTGAAAAACTGACAAAAGTACATGGCAGACATCACCTCAATTATAGGTGCAATCGACAGTGCTGATATTTCTATCTGGGTTAAGAGATTAGGTGTGTCGGTTATTCCATGGATTAATCAGATGAATACCCCCACTCTGAACAAATATTAAATATTTTATTATGTATTACTTAGACATTTTTGTCCACCTTGAGATTTCATTGATCTTGTTACATGTCTCTGCAAAATCGACTTACTTATATTAAATTGCTTATCTATTTCAACTAAAGACTTATTCCCAATTTCGCTTCGAATAAACCAGATTTTTACCAACAAATTTAAAAAATATTGTTATAACTACATAGACAACCCTACAAACCTGTACCTATTTATACTTAGGTCGTTTCCATTTCACGTATTCTCATCCCAATTGACCCCTTTTTCGTTGTTATTTGTACCTAAGACGTCCCCAATATCCCCAAAAACAACAGATTTTTACATGTATTTTTATTTAATCAAATACATTAAAACCAATAACAACTGAGACTTACCTTTAATATATATGCTGGTTCAAACACTAAATAACGTTTATAAATCATAGTCGTCTTCTATTATTATCAAATAAATAAAAGAGAGCAAAGTTTCTAGCACTAAAATAATTACCACCACAGGAAGTTAATTTGAAACGCGATTTTTTATAAGTTAGCAGCTATTAACATGCATATTCAGAATTGTTTTGTGAACTTTCAACATTCTACTATTAAACTACAAAAAATGGAAGATTTTGCAACGAATATAAAACTTATATTGAGCGTCGAAAGATTTTCCCGGTTTTTTCCCGATTCGCCTCTCAATCCCTAATCGCCCCATTTTACGGTATATTCATTTATACCCGTTTCGGCACAGGGAACGCTATTTTTAGGCCCTGAATTTGTTTGTATCGGTTTGATTTGTTTTTGTTAAATTTCCATATTCATTAAGATTGTTTGGAAGAAATCGTTTTAAATGGTACCAACCATGCTAATCCTTGGAAAAAAAAAACATTATTTTATTATGTTTATCTCCTAACCTTATTACTGATAAGTGATGTGTTTTTGTGCGGTTTAGTGGAGAGACGAGCTCACGGCCCGTCCGATATTAAGTTGTTATTAGTGCCCATGGACACCACTACATGCTACATGCTACTTACACAGCTAATTAACTATATTAATATGTTTACTCTTCAAATCGAAATACACGAATCTTACGAAGTATATTTATGTATGTGTAGTAGTATGCTTAGTAGTAGTAATATGCGCAGTATACTTCTTAAAGCACCACTAAATAATTATGTCCTACACAAATTTTTTTTTCGATCACGTCTCTCGACT